TTATAGATTCTGGTCTGATGTTGAGGTCTTTAATCCATTTTGATCTGACTTTGTGCATGGTGTTAAGTCGAGGTCTAAGCCCATTTTTTTTGCCTGTTGTTGTCCAGTTATGCCAGCACCATTTGTTAAAGAGGCTTTCCTTGCTCCACTTCACATTTCTTGCTCACTTGCCAAAGATTAGATGTTCATACAAAAAAATATCATCTTTTCAATTCACGATCACAATCACGATCATCCTGTTGTTCGTCGATTGCCTCAAGCAAGCCCCAGTAACATCTCCTTTGTCCTAGCCCTGAGATTTTAAAAAGTGCCATATTCAAGGTTCTTTCAGGGTTAGAAGAATGAGACCCATCATTGTTACTGGTATTTGGCATATTGGGTATGCCACAGGGAGCTTGCCAGACTCTAATTAATTTATTTTTTATTTAGTTATTTGTTTTGCTTTTTGGGTCACACCCGGCAATGCACAGGGGTTACTCCTGGCTCATGCACTCAGGAATTACTCCTGGCACTGCTCGGGGGACCATATGGGATGCTGAGAATCGAACCCGGGTCGGCTGCATGCAAGGCAAACGCCCTACCCGCTGTGCTATTGCTCTAGCCCCTATCATCCTTTTTAAAGAACCAAATTATAGGGCTGATAGAGAGTACGGGAGGTAAGGTGTTTGCCTTGCTTGTGGCTCTGGTGGCATCACATGTGGTCCTCGAGGAATACTGCCAGGTCACACCTAAGAACAGGGCCAGGAATAATTTCTGAATAATTTCACACCATCAGGTGTGGCCCTAAAACAAAAAAACTAAACCCCAAATATTCCATTGTCTAAAATTATATCTATTTTTTACTTTTAAATAAGTATTTTTGCATAATTTTTTTTTTTTTTTGCTTTTTGGGTCACACCCAGTGATGCACAGGGTTACTCCTGGCTCATGCACTCAGGAATTACTCCTGGCAGTGCTCGGGGGACCCAATGGGATGCTGGGACTTGAACCTGGGTCCTCTGCATACAAGGCAAATGCTGTACCTGCTGTGCTATATCATTCCTGCTCCTTCATACTGTATTTTTAACCCATCTACCAAGGGACTTTGTGGCTGTGTCCCTGTTTTAACCATGTAAATCATGCTTCAGTAAACATTGAGATAGATGCAATTTTGCTTTATTTCTGTGGTCCCAGGGTCTGTGCCCAGATCTTCACATGCAAGGCCAGTGCTGTAACCCTGAACCACATGCGTGCTCCCCATAGAGCTTTTGAAGGAATGCTTTTGTATTTTTTACATTGAAACCTCAAAGTGACATTGATAGGGTTTCTTGAGGAAGCTCCATAGAATCTTCCAAAGCCACTGATCTTATTTTATTTCATTAGTTTCTTTGCCATACTATTGGGGGTTACTCCTTATGTTGTGCTTAGGGGGGGTCACACCTGGCATCTCTCCTGCTTGGGGGACCCTGTGTGTTGCTGGGGATCTAACGGGGGTCAGCTACACGCAAGGCAGATGCCTTAACCCCGATATTGTCTCTCCGACCCCCAAGACTGTTTAATATCAATAAATTATCTTCACGTTGAGTCATATCAGAACTTCACCTTCATTGGGAGGTTCTGATTCATTAATAATTGACATGTTTTTTTTCTCATTTGGTTGCATGCAGCAACATCTAACCGTCACGTCGTTCCCTCCTGCCTATGTTTGTCATGTAGCATCATATAATACATTCAGTTCACCAACTCCATGTACAGTTCATGTATAAAGTTCAGAGCAGGGTTTGGCCGGTTTGTCAAGAACCCTTGATGTTCCTTCCCTCCAAATTTGGCCTTTCTCTTTTTAATGACTATGTTGAACTTCCTCAAAATACCAGTTACTGTTTTTTTTTTTGGTGGGGGGGCTACACCCAGTAGTGCTCCGGGCTTAGCCCTGGCTCTGTGCTCAGGAGTTAATCTTGGTGGGCTTGGGCGACCATATAAGGTGCTGGGATAAAACCTAGGTTGGCCGTGTGCAAGGCAAATTATATGCCCACTGCACTATTGCTTTGGCCCCACTAATTTTTTCATTTTAACACCCAAGTGAAGATAATATTGAAGATCTTAAAAACCAAGTATTAAGTGTCTTGTGTCTGGTAGAAAGAATGTGCGATTCCCCCACATTTCTCATTATTCCATTCTATCTGCTCAATTCCTTGGTAATGTTCCATTGTTTACTCTCAGAAGCTTGGAATTTGAGCTAAGAGCACAGGAATGACTTCTCTCTGACTTGTTACCAGTTTCCTGCAGACAGGAAGGAAATCACAGTGGCTTTGGGATGAGGTGCCCTGACTCCTAGCTGTGTTCTAACTGCCTGGGTGCTGTAAGGCCAGTGGAAGAGGTTCGTGTCTGCAGTGTGGTCAGCACCGTCCCTGCCCTATGAAAGTGCCACTGCAGACACAAGGTCTCTACTGGGAACAATTCTGGTCTCTTGTATGTTTTTTTTCTCTCACTGTTACAATATCAATGCTTAAAATAGTACTTGGCACTTGGGGGGCCAGAGAGATAGTAAGTACAGTGGTAAGGGCTCTTGCCTTGCATATGACTCATCCTGGCACCCCATATAGTCCCCGGAACTCTGTCAGGAATGATACCTGAGCACAGAGCCAGGAGCAAGCCCTGAGCATTTCTGGATTTTGCCACAAAGCCAAAAATAAAACAGTACTTGATGCTTAGGATCAATAAATTGTGTTGAATTCACTGAAATTCAAGCTACTTAAAAAACAAAAAAAAATCCTTGATCTTGGGAGCTGTGGGGATGGTTCCAGGGCGGAGTGCATGCAAATTTGAGTGGCCCCCAAATTTACTTAATCTTCTTGGAGATCGGCCTGTTGATCAGTAATAATCGGACTATATCTTCTGGTGTGACAGCCAGTCATTGCTAATTTTCACTAGGCATGCTAACTTTTAGTTTAGTTTTGCAAGTCAGGGATTGAACCCAAGTGCTTTGCCATTGAGCTACACTCTTAACCTTTAACTGCTAACGTTTTTTTAAAATTATTATTTTGTTTTTTGGGCTATACCTGTCCATACCCAGAGCTCTTGCTAACTCAGTGCATGGAGGAATCAAACCCCTAGCTCCTGCATACATGTGCTCCAGCCCTTGTGCCCTCTTCTTGGTCTCATTTTATTTTGCTTTTAATGCAGTTACTTGTGTTTTGTGATACCAGGGACCAAACCCAGGGACTCCCATGCAAGGCGAATGCTGCAGAGCTGAGCTCTGTCTCCGGCTCCTGGAGGGAAGCTAAGCACAGAGAAGTTGAGCAAACCGGGACTGGTGGGAAGATGTGTCTGGGAAGTCATTTCCCCAGCCTCGGAGATAGAAGCTGTGCCCAGAGAAACCCCCCAGATGCGGGGGCTCTTCTGCAGATGGCAGCCAGCCCTTGGAGCTATCTCTGCGCCCTCTCTCCTGCCTCTAGTTTTCAGTTTTTGCTCCCAATGAAGCACCTCCCCAAGACGGGGCCCTCCTCCACGTGTGTCCCTGTTTCCCTCCAGCAGGCTACCAGCAGCCTAATGCAGCTCGGGTGGCCGTCTCCTTCCGCCAGGCCTTCTGCCACACACACAGTTTATTTAGTCACTCCTCGAAGGGACTCAGGGCATCTCGGGGCTGGCTGCAAGTCCTGGTGCAGACCAAGGAGACCCTCACCCCCAGAACCAATTTACCCCCTGCCAGTTGCAGAGAGCCACTTCTTAGCTGTGCCACCCCATGTGACCCCATGGTATCTTCTGGAAGGGAAGTGGCACCCTGCTCGGTTCTCGGTCTCTTTCCTGCCTATCATTTTTGTTTAAAAAACCCTATTAAAAATCTTTTATTATTCTCCTAGGATTTTTGTCTGTTTTGTTTAGACTAAGTGGGACATAGGAAGTTTCCACATTCCCTCTCCCCCCTTTGTTAAGTTCTGATGAGACACAGTTTGGATAAATGCTTGTTATTAATAAGATGCCTTGATAGAGGCTGGATGTTAAAAATAGGAATGATCTCGTTAAGGTGAGTTCTTCCTCAGTCTCGTTAGTGATGGTCTGAAATAGAATCCGGTCTTGAGCGCTCTCGCTTTTCTTTTTTTCTGTAAAATGTGTAAGATGGCAACGAAGGACCCCCTTGTTTAGACATTCGGATTCTTCCTCTCACTGGTAGTGTCTTTTCCCATCTGTATGGATCTGCATTTCTGTTATCAGCCCTGTCACAGATAGTTGGGAATGCTCCTGTAGAATTTTCAGTGGGTTGCTTAAAAGTCACAATAACGGAGTTACTTGAGGGAAACTTTCATGGGTGGGCTGGGAATCGGGGGAGGAAGGTGGGCAAGGGAGGTTGAGGAAGGCTATTTGGGAGAGAGGCTTGCTTGCTTCATTCCCTACTCAGAGAGGGGATGCGGTCATGGACAGTAGGGGAAGGAAGTAGTTTAGTTTTTTCCCAAAAATTTCATATGTGGGGGGCCTCAGAAGAGCATTTAAGGGATTCTGGGGGGAGAGCGGGGGTGAGTGGGCAGGTAGGAGGAACTGGGGGAAGCCTTGGGAAGGAGAGAAGGGATGAGCAGGGGAGAACAGATGTGGGGCGGGGGGCAGCTGGTCCTCAGTGGGTTTGCCCTGGTGGCTCTTTTTTCTTTCTTTCTTTTTTTGCTCTTTGGGTCATATCCAGCAGTGCACAAGGGTTGCTCCTGGCTTTGCACTCAGGAATTACCCCTGGCGGTACTTAGGGGACCATATGGGATGCTGGGAATCGAACCCAGGTCAGTCACGTGCAAGGCGAACGCCCTACCTGCTGTGCTATCACTCGAGCCCCAGTGGCCTTTTTTTGATGTTCGTTGTTGGAAACAGTTCTTGCATGTTGCTCCCCTAGTAGGGATGAGTAGGAGCTGCTCCTGGAAGATCAGAACTTCGTCTGTGGAGATTCTCTTGCCTGAAGACTTTCTTTTTGCCATTTAGCCAGATCCAGTCAGTTCTGAGTCTTTCCCCAGGGGATGCTAAATGACTGTTCTGCGTTTTAGGTGTGAAGTTTCGCTTCGCCTCGTACGTCAGCGATCACATGGTCCTGCAGAAGGAGCCTGCAGGGGCTGTGCTATGGGGCTACGGCCTCCCTGGAGCCGCGGTGACCGTGAGTCTGCGCCGTGGTCAGGACACAGTCATGAAGAAAGGGACCCGCGTGAGAGGTAAGGCCGCCCAGCCTCCGCTCAGCCTTGGTCCTCCTCTGCCCCCTGCTGGCTTACTGGGAAATGACGACTGCTTTGACGACCGAAGCAGTCACCTGCTTTCAATAGTCTGGCCCCAGAGCCTTGCAGGAAGTCACAGCACCCATCTGTGATACCCCGGGGAGTGCTGGTGTGGGGGACCTCTGTAAAGTGGGGCATGCTTGGGAGAGCTCGGCTGTGCACTCTGCGTGGCTTAGGACTTGCTGTCGCTAGTAATTGTGGCCTTGTATGTCACCCTCTCTCTGTTCCTACTGTAGCAGTCACGGTCTTTAGGAGTATGACGAGGGTCCAGAGAATTAGCACTTGCAAAGTCTTCAGGCACACAAAAAGCACTGAGTCAAGTGTTGAGGTTGTTTTTGTGACTATTACATGGCTTAGTTCATGACCTAAGTATTCTACCATGCCCTGTGGCCCTGTGGCCCTGTGGTAGGTAACGGTGGTACCATGAGCAGAAGACAAATGATGTCTCTCAAGAAATGTGGAGGTTGGGGCTGGGGAAAGATTTAATCAGCCATCGGAGCTTATGTGAGGACGGTCACAGTGGGCGAGCACGAGCTGCTGTGCAGGGATGATTAAGACTTATCCCGGAAGAAGGCTCAAGCAGAGGGCAGAATCTGGGCAAAGGCTGTGGGCAGTGTGGTGGGCAGATGGATTTTTTCCCTGGGATTTGGGCTCCTGACGGGCTCTGTAGGCACCAGACAGGCTTAGAGGTGGAGGGTCTTACTGCCCTCGTCAAGTAGCGTGTGGTTTGGGTCAGCAGGGTTTGGGCTTCAGAGCAGCACTATCACATTTTACTTTAGAAGCTGGCTCCGGCAGGAGGGCTGAGCTGGTTCTCCACTGGCAGTCAGTTGTCCAGACAGTGCCATCGATGGCTGTACCCATGGTATAGCCCAGGATGCTCGCGAAGACTGGAATTGCCCTCCTGAGCAGGAAGAGCCTTAGCAGGCGTGCAGATGTGAGTCGGGGAGGAGAAGTGCTAGCCATAATTGTGCAGGGAGGGAGCTCAGGGTTCGCCCCGTGGAGGCCTGATGGCAGTGTCGGTCTGGTCTGTGGGTGGGGAATCAGCGTGGGAGCTGCCGCTCTGAGCTGTGAGTGTCCACATGACCAGGAAGCTCGTGGGCAGTTTTCTGATCCTTGAAAACCAGGCTCATTAATTAGTGTTATCAATATGCAGAGCTGATACCCGGTGCAGAGTGAAGTCAGCCCTGGGCAGGCTCTTCATAATTTATTCCCATGTCAGAAACATTTGGAAATAGGATGTATGGGACAGAGATGTGGGCAAACCCTTCTAACTCTTGAATTTCAAGACCTTTCAGCATCAAAATATTACTGGGTGAAACAAAAAAAAAACTTGTCAGCTTACCCTGGATAGAGATATTCTCTGTTAGATGATTTAAATGCTGCTAGAGACTTACAAGAGAAACTAGGAAAATGGAGAATTCAAGAGACAACACCGTTTTCGTCTGGGATTGAGTCCGTCTTAGAAGTGAGCAGCCAGAGCACAAGTAATGGTACTGAGTAGATGACATTTATTTAGGAGTCAGAAGGATTTCTGATACTTAGAAAACAAGAAGCAGGGACCTGGAAGGTGCCTGGGGTGACCGGAATAACCCTCAGCACTGCCTCCTCAAGCCCCAGCCCTGAACCTTCTGGTCCATTTGCCAGGAGTGTTCTTCGAGCCCCCTGAGCACTACATGGTGGGTCTTCCCTGTCCAGTAAAATAAACAGGTTTCCACGGTGTTCCTGATCAACATTCCTCATAAACACTTGGAAGACAGAGACTGTACAGTGCAGTAGATTTATGCAAAAGTACATCATATTTCAAGAGCATTCCAATTTTGTTTTGTTAATTTTTGTACCACACCTGGTGGTACTCACAGCTTACCCCTGGCTCTGTGCTGAGGGGGTTTCACACCTGGCAGTGTTCAGAGGACCTCAGTCACGTGCAAAGGCAAGCACCGTGCCCACTGCACTCTCTTTCCAGCTCCATTAAAAATGTTTTTATACATTCTTTATTTCCAGGGGCTGGGGCGATAGCACAGTGGTAGGGCGTTTGCCTTGCAAGTGGCCAACATGGCCGACCTGAGTTCGATTCCTCCGCCCCTCTCGGAGAGCCCGGCAAGCTACCGAGAGTATCTTGCCCGCATGGCAAAGCCTGGCAAGCTCCCCGTGACGTCTTCGATATGCCAAACACAGTAACAGTTGTCATAATGGAGACGTTACTGGGCCCGCTCGAGCAAATCGATGAACAACGGGAGGACAGTGGCAGTGACATTATTTCCAGCGTCTTTCCCCCTTCCTGATTGTTTTGGGCCTTGCCCTGGAGGTGGCAGGGGTAGGTAGTGCTTCAGAGAAGGAATAAAAGGTGGGCCCCTGGGCGCCATGAGGAGCCTTTGTTCCTGCTGTGTGGTTAGTGTGCTGAGATTCAGTTCAGGTGGGCTGCCTCTGTTTATCACTCTGTCTGCCCTGTTAGTATCTTGCTTCCTGCTTACCATGCCCTCACAGCAGCACAGAAGGTTGTCCAGCCGACTGATGCTTAAGCGCTGGGAAAACTAAGACCTTAAGTAGCTATGGGAACATTTGGTATTATGATTGAGTTGAAGAAATGTATTTTTCCTCACTTAAAAAAATAAAGACCTACCCTCAGTTGCACTGTTAACATCTTGCTGATTTTCTTTTTTTGTCTACACCTCGTGGTGCTCAGGGTAATCTTCTGGCTCAGTGCTCGGGCCTCACCCCTGGCAGTGCTCAAGGGACTATGTGGTTCTGGGGATTGAACCCAGACTATGGCATGCGAAGCATGTGCTCCAGCCCAGCGAACAGCGAGCTGTTTCTCTACCCCTCTGGCCCTCTTTTAAAAGATTCATTTTACAAGGTCAGACCCACCCAGGATAGTCTATTTTATTCTTTTAACGTGTTTTTTTTTCAATTGAAAGTCAACAAGTTCAGGATTTTTTTTCTTTTTCTTTTTGGGTCACACCCAGCGATGCTCAGGGGTTTTGCACTCAGTCAGGGATTACTCCTGGTGGTGCTTGGGGGACCATATGGGATGCTGGGCATCGAACCCCGATCAGTCGCATGCAAGGCAAATGCCCTACCCACTGTGCTATCGCTCCAGCCCCATGTTCAGGATTTTGATTGTATCTGTAAAATATCTTTGTCTTTTCAGTACAGTATAACCTAAACAAGGGGCTATTTATTATAATGAATATTACTATATTTTTATAGTATATTTTATTAAATTAATATTCTAACTATAATTGATTGGGCTGGAGTGATAGCGCAGTGGTAGGGCGTTTGCCTTGCACGAGGCCAGCCCAACTGAGCTGGTTTCGATTCCTCTGCACCTCTCAGAGAGCCCAGCAAGCTACCGAGAATATCTCGCCCGCACGGCAAAGCTGGCAAGCTACCTGTGAGGTATTCATATGCCAAACACAGTAACAACAATTCTCACAACGGAGACGTTACTGGAGACGTTACTGGGCCCGCTCCAGCAAATCGATGAACAACGGGAGGACAATGCTACAGTGCTACTATAATTGATTATAGCTATTAGAATAAATACTTCAATAATCAGACTGCTTATTACTGGTTGAGCAATTCAATTGTCTGAAAACGAAAACATAAAATCTGGGGCCAGAACAATAGTACAGTAGGTAAAACACTTGCCTTGCATATATCCGATCTGCGTTTGATCCCCAGCCTGCCCACCTGCCAGGAGCAATCTTTGACTGCAGAGTCAGGAGTAATCCCTGAGCACTGCTGAGAGTGTCCCCCAAACAAAACCCCAGGTATTCTGCTTGCTCAGATCTAAGGGGGGATACTCAGGAGTGTGGCATTTGGGGATCTCTTTATGGTGTGTCCCCCCAGTATGTGGCAGTTTGCTGTGTTGCATTGTGATTATTGCTAGAACAGGAAGATTCATTTTGCATTCCTGTTTGGGGGAGCATGGTGGACTCCCTATAGGATTGAGGCGGGTCAGGGTGAGGTGACCTCGACAGTCCCGTCTTCGTCCCCTGCCCATCACTTCCTCCGGTCCCAGAACACTTTGCAGCTGGGTTCTATGAGGAAGAAGCAAAGAGGATGACGTCTTCCAGCTCCAGATTTTTCCTTTAGGGAAGGGAAAGGTCGCTGGTAATTTTTTTTTCTCTTCTTGGCATCAGATTTGGCACAATAACCTGAAAAATAATTAACATCTGATGTGCATAGGAAGAAATTAAAAAGCAAGAAAGCCCTTTATGACTAATCTTGTCTTTAGACAAATGATTTTAATTTTCCCATTCTGGACTGGAGAAAGGGGGTAGGGAGAGAGGGAGGGAGGGGAGAGGGGAGTGCAGGGAGGGAGGGGGAAGGGGGATCCGGACTCATGTCCTTGACTGGAGAAACAGGCCATCCCATATGGCCACCCTTCACCATGAAAATACAAAGCTCTGAGCCATTGGCGTGGCCTTATTGTGGGGGTCCCAGGGGCTGGGAGTCCACCTAGTGCGGGGAGAAGAAACCCAAGGGCACAGGACATTAGGGCAGCAGAAGCGAGAGCGTACATCGCGCTGGGCCTGGGTGCCCGCGGAGGTGACTGGTCAGCCAGGAGCCCCCTGGGAGAAAGCAGGGTCTGGGGCCTGAGGCTGAGCCCCAGCTCTCCACCCAGTGAGTGTCCATATTCTAGGCCCACCCAGCTTCCAATCCCCCAAATGGGTTTCCTCGGCCAGAGTGAGCCCCCCCTGGCGTGACCTTCCCAGAAGCGGACAGGCATGGCTCACAGGCCCGCATGGTGGCTTTTGCTGCCAATGTCCTCCTGGGCCTGCGGCCCAGGCAGCAGCTGTCCCAGTAGTGTCCACTGTTGAGTTGCTCTCTGCTAGCCTGTCACCTCTCTAGTGGCTTTGTTGTCTGTCCCTTGACTGCCCGATCATTTTTCTTAACATGCACGATTGTGTCAGACAAGCTGTCTTTTATCCAGTGTAAGAGAGAGCAAGAAACGGAACGGACGGCAGGAGCACTGGGGAGGGAGCTTCTCTGAGGTCTCTTCTGAGGGAGTCGAGAGTTTTTTGGGGACACGAGACCATGATGGATGCTGAGCTCTCTTCAGATGCCTTCCACCCGAGCCACTGCTCGGCCTCTGGTTGGAGTAGGTGGGACGGCCCTGCCATGATGTGCCCAGGGCCCGCGTTATCCGACGAAGGTAGTTGACGCCAGCCTCAGTGCCTGGGGCTCCGGCTCTCACCAGCGCACAGAATCGGTTGCCAGGAGCAGCTCATCCCGGCCTTTTCCGGCGGCTGACCCTCTTAGCAGTGAGCAGTGTTGGTGGCGGGGGGTGGGGTCGGAGCTGCACTTGGACGTGTCAGAACACGAAGCCTGGAAAGACCTTGGCGAGACTGTGCTGGGGACAGATTGCAGCGTCTGCCTGCTCAGAAGTGAGCGCCATACGGAGCACCTCGCACCTGGGCCACACAAGCTGCACTGAGCTGCCCACTGTTTCCAAAACAGGCCTCTTGCTACTTTAGGTGGATTCTGCATTTAATATGTTGATGTCTGGCTAGGGGTGGTATAAAAACAATAGTGAGCATTTGCTCCCGGTTTGACTGACCTCAGGGGCTTGTGCTTTGGAGGGGAGCGATCCTGCACCCTGAGTGGTCCTGCAGGTCTGAGCTCTCCTCACCTCTGGCCACGTGGCTGGACCCCTGGTTCGGGTGAGCCCTCGGATCCGGTCTAATGTGCCATTGGTGCCCGTGTGCACGACGCTTGCTGATTACTGCTTGCAGGTTTGTGTGCTCACGGTAGGGTGCTCCTGTTGTAGCTCTTCCCGTCCTCTCCCTGGAATCAGCTTGTATTCTTTGGCCTTGTTCCAGGAATCTTTATTTTAAAATGATCATCTCTCTATTTTGTCTGTTTTCTCGCTCTTATTGCCTTCAACTTTGCTCATGTTGTTTGGTTCCCTGGGGATAATTTTACCGTTTTGAAGATATTTTCCTTAAGTTTCCGAGTATGATGTTGGCAGTGGTGGTGGGGTGAGTGGGTGAGAGGTGGGAAGGTGGTAGGGGGGTGGTTCCTAAGGAATTTGCTATGAGCTTCTGAAATAGGGTCTTGGATAGCTTTTCATCCCCGAGTTGAGTCCTGAAACCTTATATCTAGTAAATTGCTCTGATTTCTCTCAGTGAAGCCTGTATGTCTTCTTCACAGGGAGATTGGCACAGAAAGCAGTCAGACACAGAATTCAGTTTCTCCACTCTCCTCTTTTAACTGTTGCTACAAGGAGTTGGGAATCGAGGACCTGTCCCTTAGGGGAATTTTCAGATTCCAAATGATTTCTTTCTGACTGTTGCTCACATTTGATTGGATCATCACAGAAAGACGAAATAGGGAGATGATCATTTTAAAATATTTTTGGAATAAGGCCAAAGAATCACAGATCTCCAGATCTGTCCGGCTCTGGTTATTTTGTTATTACCTGCAGGCTGGTATACCGAGAATGTCCGTTTTATCTTTCTGTTCAACTCTGGAAATTTTAAACCTCTTTGTGTTTTTGTGTGTTCCCATTTAGGATTATAACTGGATAGTATATTTTTAGAAATCTTTGGATGAAAAATAAAGAGGGGATGGGTACAAATTAAAGCTAGAAATGCTGCTTTCTGTTAGTTCCATTTGCTTGTCCAAAATTTTGCCAGTCTGTATCATTGTGGATTTAGTATAGCACGGAGGCTGGGGATAAGCACCAAGAAATATAATGACGGATTCCTCCAAATCTTGTTATTGCAGTGGGCTCCAAGACCTGGATGGTGGTCCTGGACCCCATGAAGCCCGGTGGGCCCTTTGAAATAATTGCTGAACAGAACACTGGCAGCGTGAACTCCACCCTGAGCGTTCGGGAGGTCTTGTTTGGAGACGTCTGGCTCTGCAGCGGGCAGAGTAACATGAAGATGACGGTGTCACAGGTAATGTGCTGGGTCTCAGTGCAAATCCAACCTGTTGGGGTAGTACAGTGGGTAAGGTGTTTGCCTGGCCTGCGGCTGACACCACACACGGTTCTCTGAGCCCTGCCAGGAGCAATCCCTGAGCACACAGCCAGGAGGAAGTCCTGAACATAGCCGGGTGTCACCCCGACCTCCCTTCTCCCCTCAAACACTTCTGTTGATCAGGATGAAGAAGAAAAGGAGGAGGGACAGAGATGGGAGGAGAGTGTGGCCTTTGTCTGTTACTGCTTGAGCCATTCAGAGAAGTCACTTGATATATCTAAGGCTTTGTCAATATGCTTTTGAACAAAACAGTGCTTAAGATAAACATAGTACTTTATTTCTTATTTTAAACATGGGTCAAATGCAGTGTTGGTAAATTGGCACTAAGCACAGAGCTATGTCAAGATCACCTCTATGGATCATTTTTTGATCATTTCAGGTGCAAAGCCTAGGCCAGTTAAGTAGGAACTCCTCTGGTCTCTGTCCCGGACCCAGCTAACTTCTTATCTGCTTCTTTCTGTGAGTTTGAGGCACCCCATACGGGTAGGCTCCTGTACTAATCATCCCTTATGCCTGCCGCCTCTCACTAAGCATTTAAGGTTCGCCATCCAAGTTATGTTCCCAAGGTTTGGTTCTTTTTTTAGGACTGGTCTGTATTGGACTGTGCATATACCCCATTTGAGTTGTTGTTGCCTGTTGGCTATTGTGAGAATTTCGGCTCTGAATGGTGGTGTGCCAGCTTTAGTTTCTCTGAAATGTCAGTGAGTGGAATTGCTGAGTCATCTCTTAGCTGTTCTTTGAACTTTTAGGGAACTGTCAAACAGTTTTTCACAGTGACTGTTTCATTTTACATTTCTACAAGCAGTACTCAAAGAATCTAATTTTTTCACCATCTTCATTAATGTGTTCCTTTCATTAAAAAACATTTAACTCTCCTTGTGAAGTAGTATCTCCTGGTAGTTTGCTTTTCCCTGATGACTCATAAGTTGGATATTGGACCAGATATATAGTGTTTATTTGAACATCTTTTCTTTTCACCACACCTGGTGGTCCTCCAGAGCTATTCCCGGCTCTGTCCTCAGACCTGATCTGCCAAAGTGACCACAGGCAAGGCCAGTGCCTCACCTCTTGTGCTGCGTCTCCAGTTTGGCCCTTTTGTACATCTTTGCAGAAGTACCTATTTAAGTCTGTTGCCAATTCTGACTCGGTTATATTTTGAATTTTAGAAATTCTTTATATGTCTATGTTAACCCGGCTGTGTACAGTAGACCTGATGTAGTACGATGTTTGCTGTGTGCAAAGCAAGCGCCTAACCACTGTCCTATCTCTCCATCCCCTCTTTTGTTACTTTCTTGATAGATTCCTTTGAGACAACAAAAGTCCTTAATTTTTATGATGACCAATTTATTTTTCTTTCATTTATGCCATGCATGTCATCCTTGCGCAGGGCCATGCTAATCTTCTCTGTATTGTTCTAATTTTAGTATATGTACTGCCATTGGGATCGTATTCATGAAGGTATTGCCAAATCCAATGTTATAAATATTTTCTCCAGTGTTAGAATAGTTTAATAGCTTTAGCTATTAAACCTAGGTCTCTGATATTTTTTGAGTCAATTTTTATTATATGGTATATTGTGATGTTTTCATTTTATTCTTTTGCAAGTGGATATCTAGTTTTCCCATAGACTTTTCCTTTCCCCATTGAATTGCCTTGACTTCTTGTGAAAAATCAGTTGACCATATGTACAGGCATTTATTTCTGGGCTTTCTATTCTGTTCCATTGGTTTATATGTCTCTTTATGTTGGTATCATACTATTTGAATTAGTTTCAGAGTTGGGAACTGGTAGTCTTCCAACTTTATTCTTCCTTTTAAAATATTATTTTGTCTATTCAGGGTCTCTTGCAATTCCATATCAATATAAAGACATGCATTTTCATTTCTGCAAAAAAAGTGGGGTCGGAATAATAGTAAGTGGTACAGTGGGCAGGGCACTTGGGCTCCCAACACCTTGTATGGTCCCCAGAACCCCTCCAGGAGTGATCTCTGGGCATAGAGCTTGGATTGACCACTGGACACTGCTGGGTGTGCAGACCAAAACAACCTATTTTTTTTTAAAAAAAGGTTTTGGAACTTACTCTGTTGGGGCTGTCTGGTTTGCTGGCCATATAGAACAGTGCTCAGAGTCTATTCCTGGTTCTGTGCTCAGGGCTCACTTCCGGTGGTTCTCAGGGGACCATCAGTGTGCTGGGGATCAAACCAGGTTGGCTATGTACATGACAGGTGCCTTACCCTCTACTAACTCTGCAGCCCTGGAATTTTGATAGGTATAGTATAGCTGTGGATTGCTTTGGGTAGTATTTGCTTTCCCCCCTTCCTCCCTCTGTTCCTCTCTTCCTTCCTTCTTCTGTCACTCCTCCCCTCCCTCCCATCACCCTCCCTTCCTCTTGCTGGGGATCAGACTCAGGATTTCACATATGCATGGTCACTGAGCCACATTCCAAGCCAGTTTTGTCTTTTTAACTGTTAACCCTTCCTTTCTATGAATATGCTCTGTCATTTGTTACTTTAGATCAGAGGGTTCCCAAATGTATTTGGCCAATTATGCCTTTTTCAGAAAAAAAATCTTAACTTGGCACCTCTAGAAACCTACTTTCTTTAAGTGAATAAACAGAAGGCACCTCATTAATTGTGGGAGGGTTGGGTAACTATTGCTCCCCCAAGTCATTCCAGTACCTCCAAATCCCTGCCCAACTCTGTTCTCTGGGGGCAGTATTACCCATTTCGGGAAACCCTGATATACATTTTAGTTTCTTAGCAATATTTTCTGGTTTTGGTGTATGTTACTTACTTCCTTAGTTAAGTATTATAATTCTCTTGATGTTTCTGTAGAGTGGGCTGGAGCAATAGCACAGCGGTAGGGCGTTTGCCTTGTGTGTGGCCGGCCTAGCCGAGTCAGGTTCCATTTTTCTGCCCCTCTCGGAGAGCCCGGCAAGCTACCGAGAGTATCTCACCCGCATCGGCAAAGCCTGACAAGCTACCCGTGACGCATTCAATATGCCAGACACAGTAACAACAAGTCTCAATATGGAGATGTTACTGGGCCCGTATAATTTCTTTTCTAGTTTCTTCATTGCTAGAAACAAGGTTTTTGCATGTTGCTCTTGCATCCTGAAATGGTTGGAACTTCAGCTTTAGTAGCTTTCTTGTGGGTTCATAGCATTTGCAGATAAAGATAAAGGTAAAGGTAAAGGTAAAGGCCCTCCCGTTGTTCATCGATTTGCTCGAGCGGGCCCAGTAACGTCTCCATTGGAGACTTTGTTGTTACTGTGTCTGGCATATCGGATACGTCACGGGGAGCTTGCCAGGTTCTGCCGTGCGGGCGAGATACTCTTGGTAGCTTGCCGGGCTCTCCGAGAGGGGCGGAGGAATCGAACTCGGGTCGGCCATGTTGGCTGCGTGCAAGGCAAACGCCCTATCGCTGTGCTATCGCTCCAGTCCAGATAGTTTTGCCTTTTTCCTTTGGATTTTTTTTTTTGCTTTTTTGGGTAACACTGGCGATGCACAGGGGTTACTCCTGTCTCAGGAATTACCCCTGGTGGTGCACAGGGGACCATATGGGATGCTGAGAATTGAACCTGGGTCGGCTGCATGCAAGGCAAATGCCATACCTACTGTCTATTGCTCCAGTCCCTGGATGATTTTTCTTTCTTTTTGTCTTGTTTAAAATCTCTGGCTAAACTTCTAATACAGTGTTGAAAACTGTATCTTATCTTATGTCTGGTCTTGGGGGAAAACTTTCAATACTGTGATATTGTGTATGATATTTTATGTGGGCTTTTCATAAAAACCTTTTACCATGCTAAGGATTTTTCCCTCTGTTCCTAGTTACCTAAGAGTTTTATTTTCATAAAAGAATGTTGACGTGGCACAGGGTTTGTGACCTCATGTTTGCCCCAGATGCTTCATATATATATATATATATTTAAATTTTTTAACTTAAAATAACTTTAAATTATAACACTGATTTACCAAATTGTTCCATACACTAATCCTACTACCAGTGCCCCCAGTGTCCCACCTACCACCCCAGCCTGCCCCCTTGCAGGCACAAGTAAATTTGCTTCATATTATTTGTTACAACACAAAGGCAGGATGGAATGATCAAAACTTAGATCAATCGGAGTCAATTTGTGGCCCCGGTCATGTCTCACAGTGATGTCACTACAGTCATTTAGGATTGCTGTGCTGGTTGGTGCTGGTTGAGCCTTTTGTGTTACTGTTTCAGGGCGTTGAGCTTGGTGGGCTTCTGGGCAACTTTCCCATCAGATTTACTGAGATCCTACAGGGCTCACAGTTCTATGACATTTGGAGGCATATGCGGCCACATAGTCCAGTGACAGTAGATCTGGAACAATTTGGTGGCCTGGCAATTTGATGAGGTTCAGTTGTGGAGCTGGACCATTTCTGTGTCAGAGGGTGTCAGGCCGCCCCCATTCCTAGAAGGCCCCAAAGCTGTCAGCTCCTAGAATGGTCCCATATCCCAGGAGCTTCTTAGGTCAACGAGCCATTCCCAGTCCCAGGATGTTGTATGTTGTCATTGTCTGAGACTTAGATTTTGACTGTACCACAAAAGCTTAATATGTGACCAACCTAACTTACAGGACCATTGTGAAGAGTGAGTCATTTGTGGTTTCTAAAAGGTTATAAAAAATGACAAAGAGGTCATGCATGGTCAAGTGGCTTATAAGCGACTTTAAAGAACTTGGGAAGGTGATTGTGCTACTCTGAAACTGCTATTTCTGTTAATATTTATTTTCCAGCCTTTATTAAATATTTTTGACAATCTTTGAAGAATATTTAAATTTGAAATTCAATAATGTGTACAACTAGATCATGATCTCACTGAATTTCTTTTAAGTTCTTAATTAAATTAATTCAACCCACTTACCTACTCTATGAGTTCTTTGTTTCTGTGGCTTTTATCCCACATAGTTTCTTCTTTAAAACCAACCAGTTAACATTCTTTTTTTTTTTTCCCCCGCTCTTTGGGTCACACCCGGTGATGCTCAGGGGTTACTCCTGTCTCTATCAGCTGCATGCAAGGCAAATGCCCTACCCGCTGTGCTATCACTCTAGCCCCAGTTAACCTTATTTCTAAATAATGCTACTAAAAAAATGCAGCTGTGGATAGATTCAGTTCATCATTAGTTTTCTACTATAAAAATCTAAATATTTTCATTCTTTCTAGCTGATCTTTTTTTCCCTCTCGTCCTTCCTCCCCTGCTTGAATATATGGAAGCCATTTGAATTTAAATGCATATCAAACTATACTTTAATGGGACTCTCTTTTTTCTAGGCAAATGAAGTGAAATTGAAGTTTTATCCCTGGAAAGCCTGGCTGGCAAACCGTTAACTCATTAAGGAAAATGGTGCTTTCCCTAATGCCTTGGACACAGATCCCAGGTGGCACACAGCGGCCAGCTCTCTTCTTTCTGGCACTTGGCCTCTCAATGACCCTATGCCAGGGGACCCCACCCCACTTCCTGCCCTTAAATTAGCCTCCGATTGTTCAGTGAATATATCCTTTCTGCTGAGAATTGACTTCAGAGCATTGTCTGTATTTAGCCAGGCTACCCACCTTGAGGTACAGGGAAATAGAAAAAAAAATTCCATCTGAAACATGGAAGTGATAATTTATTTTTTAAATCATGCACGTCGTTTGCAAGACAGCATTTTAGATTAACATTACCAAAAGTCAGGTTTTCTTTTTACTTCCTTAACACTTGGTAGGACTTTTATTTTATTTTTTTTGATTGAGATGCTGCTTTGCATGACTTCCAACAAATGCACGTGCACATATACACACACTCATACACACACCCTTATTTTTTGATTTGTAGTATACTCTACGTCATTCCCGACTCTCTCTCTCTCTCTCTCTCTCTCTCCCCCTCATCCCCCTGCCCTCCGTGTGTCTTTTCCAAGGTAATATTTCCACTTTAACCTACCACTCTTCACATTCAAATGAAGGAATGGCAGATTGTGTGCCCATCTTGTTGTTAGGGTAAAGTGGAATTTTTAAATTGACTGTTATTTATAACGCCAAGTGAGATGTTTATAAATGGAGAAAGTCTCAGTGTTCATCTGTTGCCTCTGAAGCCAGGGTCGGCCCCCAGCCTGGCTCTTTCCAGTCAGCCGCAGCCACGGACGGCCAGTGCTCGCCCGGAACTCTGTTTCCCAGCCTCAGCCGAATAGAGAAGAGCCGGCTTGGTACCACGTCACAGCGAGAGTCACAGGAGCTTGGCTTATTTCTGGCTCTCACTCCACCTTTCAAACTTGTGTGTGATGCTGTAGTCGAAGGTGAAGTGACAAAATCCACATTCTCTTATGTTGCCCTGTGTTCTTTAGGGGCCTTGCACATGCGTGTGTACACAGAAATAACACACATACACACACTCACATCCACTCACCCACTCACATGTGTGACTGGCTTCCCCATAAAGTCCCCTCCCTCCCCCAGCCACGATTCTCAGGGGAAATGGATTCTGGCTGCTTCTTCATTAATTCAAAAATGTGGAATAAAGGTTATCAAATGAACAGCGGCGGACAGCTGCTTTGCTGGGGCGCGGCCAGTCCCCCGAGAGGCCATGGTCCTCACTCCCAGCCACCGCTCGGCGGCCCTAGGCCCTAATGACTTCAAATACCTTCGGATTCATTTACATCCTCATTTAAATAGTTGGTAGGAAAATAATTACACTGAGGTGTTTGATGAGATGAAATTTGATCTCAGCAGATGGAGTGAGGCACCCCCTCTCATCAGCTGGGCAAACCAAGTGTCATTTAAATGAAAATCTTCCTGGAATCTCTTTATTCCAGAGTTTGCTACCAGTATCCCCAGGGAAAAGCTTCCATCAGAAAGGCCCGGTGACAGCAAGGCAGGGTCCCCTTTGTTGGTATGGGCAGGTACAGCAAGTATGTCCCCCCTTTGCCCTCCCTCCCCCCTTTGGTGAACACTCGAGACTTTCAGGGTTGTTTGGAAACAGTAGGCAAGTGTGAGTTTCAAACCAGCCCTTGCCAGCCAGTGTTTGGGATCCAGTTCTGTGTGGGTAAGGGCCCTGGAGGATTCCAGTCCCCCCGCCGCTGGTGGCCTGGCATGGACAACAGGCTCAGAGGCGAGGGGGCACATTCACCCAGACTGCCTCCCCACTGGCTTCTCTCTGTCGCTGCGGAAGCCAGTGTGGGTGGGAGCATGAAAGCAGTTTCATCCAGTTTCCATGGAAGCAGCACACCATCCCTCGTGCTTGGTGTCGAACGGAATTTCAAGGGGGCCAACTTTCCCCAGGTACTTAGAGCTGAGAAACCATCTCCCTGCCTGGCGCCCTCGCCTCTTCGTGCTCTCCGATGCGGGTTTTCCATTTGCCTTGCCAGGTCGGGTCCTGGACACACAGGTCTGGGTTTCCTTGGGCATTTCCAGGAGACCCTTTGTAATTTCTGCCCTTCCCGGAGGCATCCCCCTCCCCTGCCTGAAGCAGCTTTGCAAGCTGTGGCGACTTCCCCTTGGACCTCAAGCACCTAGGTCCTTTGCATCTGGTTGTCTGTTTGGTGCCCCCTACCCTCCGAAAGGCAGCATATTTCAAGGGAATGCTCTGTTGCACCCCTTCTCCTACTTAGGGGCTGGAGGCCCAGCCGCATTCTCCTCGTCCCTTGTCCTCCACTGGGGCTGGAGGCCCAGCTGCATTCTCCTTGGTGGGTGGGAGGGAACACGAAGCAGATGCGCACTCCATGGCCGTGGCCGGTGGCCAATGAGCGGGAGGCGTCCCTGCCTCCTGGTCCTGGCGGAGGCTGCCTGCCCCAGCTGGAGCGCCTGTTCCCCGAGGCCAGTGATATCCGAGCGTCCTGATGCTTCCCCTTAGCCCTTTGTTCTGAGAAAACCAGTGTAGCCCAGGGGGCTAAAGAGAAAGCAAGGGAAAACAAAGACTCTGATTGGAAAGCAAAGCCGTAGATGGAACGCGCAGCTTTTTTTTTTTTTTTAAATAAACTGAAAGAGAATATCCTAAACCGTCAGTTTTAAAGCAGCTCACACTCAGGTGTCCTGGCGGCTTGGCGCTCAGAGGGAAGGTTGGGAATGACCCACACTGTCGTGTCCAGAAAGCCTCCAGCTGCTCCTGCCGTACTTGGTGGTGACTAATGATTGTGTCCTTGGAGCGATCCCTTCTTTGTCTGACTCCCTAAGGCTGTTAGGAGCCTCCATAATGGGGACCAGGAAGATCAGCTAGCGTCTGGCAGGAGATTGCAGTCTGTTTGACAGCCGTTTCCCAGGTGCTCGTCATTGGAACACACTACTCTGACCTGCTGTGGGGCACAGCTACAACCTCACAGCCAGTTTTTGGCTCCGTGTTACCAGACACCCTTTTCCTGAGCAGAAACGTATTTTTTGGGTTAAGGTCTCAGAGCAGTCTGATCACTGGGCAGTCGCCTTTTCCCTAACTCGCACTCGCCATGACTTTTCTCCCTAATACAGGCCTGCTCTGTGAGATCTCAGATTCCAGCGGATCCCCCTTTTTTGGGAGACATGATCCATCACTGTCTGAGGCTCAGGGTGGATGAAGTGACCGGTCACCCTTGGTGTCATGTTTGCTCCTGGTGGGCAGATGGCTCAGGAGGTGCCCAGAGGCTCAGATGTGTTGGCCCGGCAGGAGGGGAATCGAGCGCCTCTTGTATTGGGGTGTGGAGTGACATTCCCGTTTCTTCCCCCAGATATTCAATGCCACGGAGGAGCTGTCCAGCACTGCTGCTTATGGATCTGTGCGCATCTTCTCCGTGGCGCCGGTCCAGGCCTGGGAGGAACTGCAGGATCTCCTCCGGGTTGACTTGTGGTGGTCCAAGCCCACTTCGGGTAAGGGTTGCTGGCTCCATCTCCTGAGCGCACTCTCATCCTGAGTTTGCTTCTGATCTGTTTATTACAGATAAACAGATATTCACCCCTCCTTGCCTTCCCTTCCTGAACTCCATTCCTGTTGGTGACCATGCCAGTGGTTTCTGTCCGTGGATCTTTTCCCCCTTGCTCCGAGTAGGAGACGGTCCCCTCAGGTTCTCTGAGCCCTTGGCGGCCACCCAGACAGCGTGCTCTGCCAGCTCTGTCCTCCGGGGCTGCCTGGCTGTACTCTTCCTTCCTTTGTTCTCTGTCTGGACACCACCAGCTGGTGTCACCTGGGCACTTCAGCTCTTCCTTTCTTGGAGCTGTGGGATCTGCTCCTGGACCCTGCTGGCCTTCTGGTGGCCGTTGGGTTTTGTGGCTCCTCTGTGTCAGGCTCTGTGCTGGGCCCAGGGACACCGTGGTGACCAGGTCCTGTTCTTGGACAGAACCTTCCAAGAGAAACTGAACCGTCACCCTTCCTCAGGATGCTGCCCTCTTGCCCGGAGCCTCTTTGGATTCTCTCTCTGGCCTCCCTGTCTTTTCTCCCCAGCCGTTTCTAATCTGACTGCTGCTTCCCCCTCAACAACATGCTTCCATCAAGGCAACACTTTTGTCTTAATGCTGCCCTTCAGATGTGGTAGCTTGATGTGGCTGGATATAGCTTCTGGAACACTCTTTAGCTCTACACAGCTGACCGCAGCTTCTGGTCATTGCCCACTGCCCTTAGCCCTGGTGCTCCTGCTTTCCCTAGGTTATCTGCTTCCCCTGTCTTTACTTTCTTCCACCCCCTCCTCCCACCTTGTGGTTTTTCTTATTGTGTTTGTTTCTACCTTGATAAACGTGCTTTCCATGCTTTCCTTGGTAAACTTCGTTGCTCCTGCATTCTCAAAGGTCAGTTCAGACAACCCAGGATTTGAGTGATTTTGTATTCAACCCTAGTATGTGGTGATACTGTTTTTTGTTTTGTTTTATTCTTTTTTGGTTGGGGGGCCACACCCAACAGTGCTTAGGGGTTCCTCCTGGCACAGCACTCAGGAATCACTCCTGGCAGTGCTTGGGGGACCATATGAGATGCAGGGGATGGAACCCGGATGGGCCGTGTGTAAGGCAGATGGCTTACCCGCTGTACTATCACTCCAGCCCCATCTCTCAAACGTTTTATTTATTTATTTATTTATTGCTTTTTGGGTCACACCTGGTGATGCTCAGGGGTTACTCCTGGCTTTGCACTCAGGAATCACTCCTGGCGGTGCTCGGGGGACCATATGGGATGCTGGGAATCGAACCTGGGTCGGCCGTGTGCAAGGCAAACGCCCTACCTGCTATGCTATTGCTCCAGCCCCTCTCAAACATTTTTAAGGGGCTTACCATTTATTCCAAGATGGGAAGTCACCCCCACCCCCGCCCTCCAGTCTGAATTTCCACTATTCTCCTTTTGTCGTCTTAGTTGCGGAATATTTCCTATTTTGCGCCTTCTCTGGTTTCTTCTGCCGGGAATGCCGGCACCTCCATTGAACTCCTCCCTGGCCCTTGAGGCTTCCCCCTTACTCATCCGGCCCCTGCACCTACCCTTTACATCAGTGAAGCTCCAGCATCTGCCACTACAGGCTCCCTCCAGTCCCAGACATCCGCTGGCTGAGGTAAGAGCTTGTCTTTGCACCTGTCCTGGAGAGCTGGCACTCGAGGGCGGGACACTTGGCGCTGCACAGTGTGGGCCAGTCTTCATCCCCCGACTCCTGTGGCAGAGGACAGACTGGTCTTCATTCCCCGACTCCTGTTACAGGGAGCAGCTGTCTTCATCCCCCCCTCCCCGCCCCCGCCGACCCCGACTTCTCTGTCACCTCTCAGGCATGTGTTGGACCACGTAGGTTATTCAGCTGAATATTTGCCTTCTCCCATGAGCAGAGGCTCCGTCACTTGTAAGTGACATGAAGTTGATCTGACTTCTGGCCTGGAAACTGTCACCCTGCCGGCTGCTAGCATGGGCGGAGTCTGATGTTTCTCGGCCCCCTGCTGGTGTTGGCGGTGAAGTGGCCTTTCCTCCGTGGAGGTGAGGCCTCGGCCGTGCATGTCGCTGCTCTCTTGATCTCTTCTACCGTGGACTCTGCCCCCTGCTCGTGGCCAGGTGCCGGGCCCACCCCCCCACCCCCCCACCCCTGACATGGAGACTGTGCTTGGCTTCCTTCTGTGGCTTTTCCCTCTGGCCTTCCTATCCTTGTTCTCATCACTGCAGCTACCACGTTGGTCGCGAACACATCCCGTTTTCCTGTTTCACATCCACTCAGTGTGTGGGGGGTGGGGGGAGGGGGAGAGGGGGAGGCCTGCGTCAAGGAGAGGGTTGGGTGAGGGGGGCCCCTGGCTTCCTGCACTCTGTGTAAGGAGGAGCACTAGTGTTCCTGGCTCTCAGAAACTGGGCTGGAGAAGCCTCCTGGCCTGCCTCTCACACATCGAGCTGGTGGCCTTCCCAGGATGACCCGTACCCCTTCTCTCAACTGGACCCCTCTGCCAGCCCCGCTTGTGTCCAGCCAGTGATTCGCTGACTTTTGTTCTCTGTTTGTTGGAACAGAAAACCTGGGCCACGGCAATTTCACTTACATGTCGGCTGTATGCTGGCTCTTTGGGCGCTACCTGTACGACACCCTGGGGTACCCCATCGGGCTCATCGCCTCCTCCTGGGGCGGAACCCCCATTGAAGCCTGGTCATCGGCACGGTCCCTGAAAGCCTGTGGCGTCCCTCAGCAAGGACGGTGAGCAAACACCAGTCAGGGAGAAAGGCCCCAGGCATCTCTGTGAGAGGGGATGTGGTCTCCTCAGTGGGTCTGGGAGAAAGGCCCTGGGCAGCTGTGTGAGAGGGGATGTGGTCGTCTCTGAGGGTGTGGGAGAAAGGGCCCAGTCATCTGTGTGAGAGGGGTTGTGGTCTGCTCCAAGGGTCCCAGTGTGTCAGATGTTGGTGACTGGGTTTACTGACATGTAAGGTGTTTCTTTTCCTGTCATCTAGACAGCATCTGAAACTCTCAGGAAGGAATTGGGGTCTTGTTTTTTAGTTATCAATAATATTTACTGGACACATTTCAGTATACATTAGTTTATAACATAGGTCAATCTTTTTTTTTTTTTTTTTTTGCTTTTTGGGTCACACCCAGCAATGCTCAGGTGTTACTCCTGGCTCATGCACTCAGGAATTGCTCCTGGCAGTGCTTGGGGGACCATATGGGATGCTGGGAATCGAACCTGTGTCGGCCATGTTGGCTGCGTGCAAGGCTGTGCTATTGCTCCAGCCCCATAGGTCAATCTTTTGAAGTAGAGATAACTTAGTTGCTTTATCCCTGGTCTGGTACTAAGTGTCAGAGTGGGTTAGTAACTTTGTCAGAGGCACCAGACAATGACTTCCACACTGCAATATTGCCCACCAAGTAAACTGCCTTCACTGGGAGAGCAGATATACCTGTCATCAAAGAAGCATGTTAGGAAAATGATCATGAAGACACAGTTAGGAAAAGCTGGGCCGGGAGAGTGCTTTTGGGGTGGGGGAAGAAGAAAGAAGGCTAGTTAATAAAATCCTGATTATTCATTGTAACAGCCGATAGCACAGCGGTAGGGCGTTTGCCTTGCATGCAGCCAGCCCGGCCAAGCCAGGTTCGATTCCTCTGCCCCTCTTGGAGAGCCCGGCAAGCTACCGAGAGTATCTCGCCCGCACGGCAAAGCCTGGCAAGCTCCCCGTGACATATTTGATATGCCAGACACAGTAACAACAAGTCTCAAAATGGAGACATTACTGCGCCCGCTCGAGCAAATTGATGAACAACGGGAGGACAGTGTTTGTGTTTTGTTTTTATTCATTGTAACACAGATATGAGCACTGCCTTGGTATCCATGGTCTGGGGGATTCTGGGAAGGCCTGTCGGGAGAGGAAGGACTCCAGCTCTCGGGTCAGCTGAGTCAAGTACTGCCCTGTGGGGAGGGAAGAAGAGATAGTGGTCTATCACTGAGGGGGAGGGCTCGAAAACCAGGCTTCCTGGATCTCGGGGACACGGGAGGAAATTACTGAGGGCCGGGGCCCTGGGCATAGTTCGCATAGAGCACTCATGTGAGTATGTTCCATGGAAGGGTAGAAATGCTCTGAGCCTAAGTAGTCCCTGCTCTTGAGTGCTCATGAGCTCAGATACCCAGCTTTGGGTCAAAATTTTATTATTTCTGGGAATTTGTCTTCGGGAATTAATTGGTCAGGCCCATGCAGTGCTTGAAGTCTTGGGAAATGCTCCTGGTACTGCTTGGAAAAGCAAGAAGTCTGCAAGGGATGATGGGGCTGTCTGGGTCATTTCTTCTTCTTCTTCTTCTTTTTTTTTTCCTTTTTGGGTCACCCAGTGATACACAGGGGTTACGCCTGCTCATGCACTCAGGAATTACTCCTGGGGTGCTTGGGGGACCATATGGGATGCTGGGAATTGAACCTGGGTCGTCTGTGTGCAAGGCAAACGCCCTACTCACTGTGCTATCGCTCCAGCCCTTGTCTGGGACATTGATTGCCCTCGAGAGGGCCCCAGAACAGACGCTGTGTCTGGTTCTTGCGCACTCCCAGGAGTGGCTGCTACCCTCACCCAGGGAAGAGTCTTAGTGAGTCATGGGCTTCCCCATTCTCAAGGGGAAAAGGGGGCTCCAGGCCACCCCAAGTTGCCAGTGTGGAAGGCGGAGAGCGGCTGCTCCAGCTTCATGGCGTGTCTTCTTGTTTCAGGGTGGGCGGCCACACCCCTGCCCTGGCCACGGGCCCCTGCGACCATTCTGTTCTCTGGAACGCCATGATCCATCCTCTGCAGAATATGACCCTGAAAGGGGTGATCTGGTACCAGGGTGAGTGTTCTGCCACACCGTTTCTCCACCATTTTAGCTCCTGCCACGTGACGCAGCCCCTAGGCCCGATGACTGCATGTGGCAGCAGCATGGGCAGTTCCTGGCTCTGTGGGCGTGGAGTGGTTTCCCGGGGGGGTTGCCTCGGGGGCCTCAGGTTTGCTGGCCTGACATCTCCTGCACGTGGCTGCTGGGGCCTGTCTCCTTGTCCACCGGAGCTCTGGGGTCTGCCAAGAAGCATCACTCAGCACGGGGTGCTTTCCAGTACGAGGTCATGAGGTTAAATTCCCGGTGTCCCTCCCTTCCGAGCCTGCGGGAAGGCCTGCTACCAAGGGCATGCATGGAGAGGGGAGAATTTGTACTCTTTTGGGGTCTCCCTCAGATCCTTCAGCCCAGGCTCCAGTGTGGGGTTTGCTTTTAGGGGAGGCCAATATGGATCTTAACAGGGACCTGTACAATTGCACCTTCCCTGAGCTCATTGACGACTGGCGCCAAACCTTCCACCAGGGCTCCCAGGGCCAGACGCAGCGTTTCTTCCCGTTCGGATTTGTCCAGGTACGTGTGGAGGGGAAGAGGAGCTCAGGAGCACGGGGCGGGGTGTGCTGCTGCCTCTCTCCTGACGCCGTCTCAGCCCTCGTCCTCCCCTGTCAGCTTGGACGAGACTTAATTCATCTTGATTCACTGAGGTGATAGTGTGTTCTTTTAGAACAGTTAACAAATAGCTGATCTGTTTCCTTACTTAGTGATCATCATATGTGGCTTGGGGGAGTAGTGCCCTGGCTTAGTGGATCTGTCACCTTGGAAGTACGCGGTCATGAGTTCGAATCTCTTGTGTCCTGGCAGCCCAGCTGACTGTGATCCTGCTGCCATAATACAAATAAATACACACACAATTAAAAGAATTAACTGTGTGCATTGAAGAAATGTGATTTTCTTTTACAGTCGAAAGGAATTCTAATTCCACAATGTAGAAGTAGACTTTTCAACGATGTAGTTTTGAAATGGGATCCACAGTGTGGCTTTGTATCATTAGTTGCTTTTTCTGTTAATGACTTATGAATTTTTTTTGGGGGGGGGTGGTGGAAGTACATTAGCACACCTGGCAGTGCTCAGGGCTTACTCTTGGCTCTGTGCTCAGAGGTCACTCCTGGCAGACTCAGGGGACCTTATGGGGTGCAGGGATTGAACCTGGGCAGTGTGCAAGGCAAGTACCTTGCCCTCTGTACCGATGGACCATGGACCCTTGTTTTGAAATTTTTTCATACTGATGAACATTTTCAGCACAATTTATAGTGACTTGGACAATATTCTGAAATGTGAGTATGTGGTTATTTGTGTAACTGGTCTTTTGTAGCTGGTACTTGGGTTGCTTTAAACATTTTGCCTTTATAAGCAATGGCTCATTTAATTTCCTTGTTGTTATGTCATTGCATTTGTGCTTACTAAGTTTCATACATAAATTGACCCAGAAATGAAAATGCAGGGTTAAATTGCAGGCCTTCTAAGACTTTGGACATGTCTCCAGTTTTCTCCGTAGAAATTAAGAATGTCTATAAATTCATTCTTTGAGCACCTCCGTGGGAGAATGTCCATTCCCTGCACCCCTGACCTGAGTTGTCTCCCCTGCCCCTGGAGTGGCTCCGTGCAATACCCCGCACCCCCCTGCCCTGGGTGGGTGCACCTTTTCCCCCAACATGTCCCTTAATCATCTGGCACTTTTGCCTGGGTGTCAGGGTGACTGCGGGACGAGTGTGAGCCTGGACAGGCCAGCTCTCCCAGACATCGGACATTGCTCGTTGGCGCACCTACCCACCTGCAGAACGTTACACCTGGGTCCTGGCACCTGTGTGTTCGGGGCCCTTTCAGGTGATCTGATACAGGATGGAAGAGCCCCCTCAGGCCTGCGGTCAGCACCGAATGACCAGAGAGACCCTGCAAGCAGCTCTTCGGGGAGAGGCAGAACCAAGTCTCCCCAAGTCTCCTGCTTGCCTGGCCTTGCTGCTGCTCCTTGGGTCCCTCCTAGCGCCGGACTTTTCCGTGGCTGGGGGGTCGGGGGAAGGGTATATTGTGAAGGAGGGGCAGCTGCGACTTTTCTGGAATCTTGGAAGTGAGGCAAGGCATCATAAACACATGGTCCAGTTCACAAGTGCTGACAGAGTAGATGTCACTGTACATCGGACTTGGCTACAGCCAGCTGTTCCCGGCTGGCTCATACCCCTTCTCGCTGGTTATACATCTCACCAGGCTTCTTTTTTTTGATAAATATTTTTATGAACCTATTTTACTTATGGTCACTTTGTAGTAATTGCCTGTCATAGATTTGTTTTGTCTTTGAGGAAGATTATCTTACTCATTATTTTTATTTATTTATTTTTTTATTAATTAATTAATTTATTTATTGAATCACTGTGGGAAAGGTTACAAAGCTTTCAGGTTTAGGTCTCAGTCATGCAAATATCAAACACATTTCCCTTTACCAATACTTATTTTTTACCATGAAGAACCCCAATAAAACCCCACCCCCCACCCCTCCCAGCCCCTGTGAGGCAGATGAATTCTAGTTAACACTCTATCTGCTTTGATTAGATTCATTGTTTCAATAAAAGATTCACCACTATTATTTAGAGTTTACCCCCCCCCAAATCAGACATGCTGAAAAAGCATTGTGAAGTGATTTGCTTTCTACAGCTTAGGTTCAAGAATTAAATGTTGGTTTTGGATTTCTGCTATTTTACCTATTGACCCTGGAAGTATTTCTACTGAAAGTCAGATAGTTAAGAAATTGGTTTCTGTGTTCTGGAGTCATGGCCGTGCTGGAGAGCCGCTCGTGGGGGGCAACTGTTGGCCTCGGTAGGGCGTGAAGGGCGGACCGAAACGCCCCCCTTCCCATGAGGTTTTAGTCGCCCCCACACCCCCGGCTCATACCTGCTGTCCACAAGGCTCCCATGCGGCCGCCATCTTTTTTTCCAGAGAAGAGAGGGCGAATGGGGCAACACCCTTTCCCGACAGACATGATGGCCTGGATTAACGCATAGTCCTTTCACTTTTCTGCTCCAAGCTGCCGGGTTCTGCATTAAGTCCTTGTGCTTCTGGGGCTGTGGCTGTGCTGGGGAGCCGCTTGTGGGGGGCAACTGGTGACCTCGGTAGGGCGTGAAGGATGGACCGGAACGCCCCCCTTCCCATGAGGTTTTAGTCGCCCTCACACCCCCGGCTCATACCTGCTGTCCACAAGGCTCCCATGTGGCCGCCATCTTTCTTTCCAGAGGGAGGAGGGCGGAAGGGAGCAACACCCTTTCCCCTCCGGCAGACTTGATGGCCTGGGTTAACGCATAGTCCGTTCACTTTTCTGCTCCAAGCTGCTGGGTTCTGCATTAAGTCCTTCTGCTTCTGGGGCTGTGGCCGTGCTGGAGAGCCGCTCGTGGGGGGCAACTGGTGGCCTCGGTAGGGCGTGAAGGACGGACCAGAACGTCCCCCTTCCCATGAGGTTTTAGTCGCCCCCACACCCCCGGCTCATACCTGCTGTCCACAAGGCTCCCATGTGGCCGCCATCTTTCTTTCCAGAGAAGAGAGGGCGAATGGGACAACACCCTTTCCCCTCTGGGCAGACATGATGGCCTGGATTAACGCATAGTCCATTCACTTTTCTGCTCCAGGCTGCTGGGTTCTGCATTAAGTCCTTGTGCTTCTGGGGCTGTGGCCGTGCTGGGGAGCTGCTCGTGGGGGGCAACTGGTGACCTCGGTAGGGCGTGAAGGATGGACCGGAACGCCCCCCTTCCCATGAGGTTTTAGTCGCCCCCACACCCGCAGCTCATACCTGCTGTTCACAAGGCTCCCATGCGGCCGCCATCCTTCTTTCCAGAGAAGAGAGGGCGAATGGGGCAACACCCTTTCCCCTCTGGGCAGACATGATGGCCTGGATTAACACATAGTCCGTTCACTTTTCTGCTCCAAGCTGCTGGGTTCTGCATTAAGTCCCTGTGTTTCTGGGGCTGTGGCCATGCTCCAAACTTAACTCTGATTTTCAGGGAGAAATGTTGGGTGGTTTACTTCCCAATGATCACTTTGTATATAGAGAGATGTCGCGCGGCCGTGTAAGCGGCCAAGCGGTTTTGAGAAAAAGTCCTAGTTCCCGCATACTCGAGCTGTGCTTGTAGCGGCTTCTGGTCACCAGGGCTCCATCTGGGGGATGCGGGATGCGGTACCTACCCCATTTGGGACTTGCCGGTGATCTCGGCTCTTTTTTGAACCTTTTTTTTTTTTTCCTCCAGGATCTGTGGTTCCCGCCCTCCATGTGGTCCTTCTCTTAGGCTGTATGTTGTAAAAATGGCCACTCATTATTTTTAAAATAGCAGTTTGTGTCCCCAGTTCTGTTGCTGTCGGTGGGAACTGCATTTGGACTCCCTATTTTTCGTGAGTGTGTGAGGTAAAAAAAAAAAAAGCCTTTTTTGGGAGGAGGGAAGTTGGGGTCACACCCAGCTGGGAATTTCCTGGCTCTGTGCTCAGGGGTGAGCCTGCTGGTTCATGGGGGACCATATGCTGAGCCATGGATCAAACTGGGGTTGGCCACCTGCAGAATAAGCTCTCTCCCCCTGTGCTATGCCTCCAGCCTCTGTAAACTCATTTAGGAACTGTGTGAGGAGTGAAGAGAGGGATGGGGGAGCCCCAGGGGTCAGGGAAGTTATCACAACCCACTTGGCTGCCACTCGAAGGGTGGGTGATGCTCTCGTTTCCCAGCCTGGGAAACTGAAAGAAACCCTCAGCAGTTCAAGCCTCGAGTCTGTCTTGCATACCTCTTAGATGCTCTGACCTGTGGGGTGCTGGCCCCTCGGGCCAAGTCCCTGGGCCTCTGGGTGTGAACTCTGTTGCCAGTGGCAGAAGTATGTGGGCACTTGTGTAAACTCAGGAAAGGAATGTTTGCTTCCAAGGACACGCTGAGTGTCAGCTGTGGCATCCGAGCAGTCGAGTAGGCCTGGGTCCACACCCTGGCTGAGACCTATGTATGTGTGTGTGACATAAGTGTGAGCATTCAGGGGGCACCGTTGTGTGGTTTGGGGCGAGACACTGTTATTCCTTGATCTTTTCAGCGTCAGGGGAGTCCATCCTGCCGTGTGTCGCGTGTCAGGTCCCATTAGTGTGTCTTGTCAATCATGAGAGTCTGCTCCCGAGGGGCTGTGGGTCTGTGAGAGAGTCTCGGCTTTGCGGCAGTGCAGCTCGCAGGAAGGGGCATAGGTGAAGATGCAGGTCTGAGCCCAGTGGGGACACCGGGCTGTGCGTCCGAGCAAGCAGTAGAGAAGCAAGCTGTCGGACGCCAAGAGACAAGAGCAGGGCTGGACGTGAAGGAGGGAGGGAGGGCCAGAAGAACTGACCGCAAGCTGCAGGCGCATGCTGTTGGATAATCTCTGCCTTTGGTCAGCCTTCCTTAGCGGCCGCTTTTGTCCTGTCACTGAGACTGAAGTGCCCCATGGCAGATCCGGATGAACATTGGCGTACCTGGGGGTGTGGAGTGTGCTGGTGCCCCCACGTGGCCACTGGACAGCAGTGCAGGAATAGAGTGGCCAGTCAGTCACTGTAGAATTCTCAGAAGTTGCCTTAACAAAAAATTTTTTTTTAAATTAGTAAATTTTCACGGCAGTGTCTGGCAAACTCCCCGTGGTGTCCCCAATATGCCAAATACCAGTAACAATGATGGGTCTCATTCTCCTAAAGAGCCTTGAATATAATCTCAGGGCTAGGATGAAGGAGACGTTACTGGGGCCTGCTCGAGGCAATCGACGGTTAACAGGATGATTTGTGATTTGTGAGTAAATTTTCAGTGCAGGGATAGAGTGGCCAGTCAGTCGCTGTAGAATTCTCAGAAGTTGCCTTAACAATTTCTTTTAATTACTAAATTTTCAAAACAGGAGCTACTCATGATAGAGCTTGCTCCCGGTACCTTAGGGCCATCCCAACTGGTGCCGGTAGGGGCGCACGCAGTTCTGGACTTTGCACTCATGGCCACATGCGTTCTACCCCTTGTGCTGCCCACCTCCACCTGGCATTTTGAGAAGGTTGTCTGGGGTGGGAGTGGCTGTCACCAGTATTTCTCTGTCTGCTGGACGCCAGGACTTGGCGCAGACTCTTGCTGGTGGCGTTGTCTGGCGAATGGAGGTGCCCTGCCAGTCTACTGTGCTGTGTGGGATCAGAGCTGCTTGCTGGGTCTTCACATCCGCTTTGCGAGTTTTCTCAAGATTGCACGGGGGAATATCTTCTTCCATCCCGTTATATGGTGAAGCTGACTCACAGAAGAGATTTGAATCAGACGCTTGGTTCTATCCCTTAGTCCCTGTCGCATCCACGGCACCTTTCTGCTATAATTGCACCTTCTTCAGCATTTCCTGAAGAGTTTCTCACCTTTCTGGAGCAACTCAAGAAGCAGAAACGTCCTCAGCCATATTGGTGGGGATGACCCCAGGTGCCCTGTGCTCTCTAAGGAGACTGGGACAGAGGGTCCAGACTGTCTGAAATGGGTCAGAGACATGGTGGCTGCGGCCCCACCGGTCTCCAGGCTTGTGCTTGGACTTCCTGAGGTCTGGGGCTGTCCCTGAGCCATGAGGCATCAGTGGCAGCGTCAGAGACCAAGGAAGAAAGAAATCGTGGGACCATGGGGCTCATAGTAATATATTTTTGCTTCCAAAGGACACACTGAGTGTCCTCTGTGGCATTCGAGTGGTCAAATTGGCCTGGGTCCACACCTTGGGCGAGACCTGTGTATGTGTGTGTGACACAGCATGAACATTTAGGGGCACTGTTGTGTGGTTTGGGGCGAGACACCTTGGCAGGAGTGAGAGCCTGTTCATGTTCGTCATGAACAGGCTCAAGTCTGCTTCCTGCTCAGGCCCGGCTGTGCCTTCTGCATTTCCCTGCTCTTCCCTCTCTTCCCTCGAGTGCTCCGTAAGCCAGTGTAAGGGTGCACTAAGGTGACATGCCTAGCGAGGCCCCAGTGATGCTCTGTGTCCGAGGTCCACGCAGCTGGTGCTGTCTGCCCTCCCTCCCCTCACCCCATCCTCTCCCCGCGCCTCGGCCTGCCTCACTCTACAGATACCAGGTGACTCCCACCTACCACTTGCCATTTTCGCTTCCTGGTGCCTGGAAAATTTTCTTTCTTTCTTTCACTCAGTTTCTTTTCTGTGGCTGCCTACAAACAACTGTGTATTTGGCAACTCAAACCAGTACCACAGCTGCTCCACAGTTTATGGCTTCTTGGGCTGAAGAGTCCGGCCTTGTGTGACTTAGCCGGGCTACTACTCGGGGGTCTTGGCCGAGGTTTGGGGTCCTAGCCGAAGGCTGTCCTTGAAGCCCTGGAGTACCCAGCAGCTGACTTCTTTAAGGTCTGCTGGAGAGTCTCTGGCCCCGGCCCTCTTTATTTGATTTGGGGGAGGGAGTGGGGACTTCTGGGGTGAATGGTGCTCAGGAGGTATCTTTGGCTTTTTGCTTTGTGGTTAATCCTGGTGATACCCAGAGGACCATGCTGTACCATGGATCAAACTGATGTCAGCTGTATGCACAGCACGGCTTAATTTCTGTGCCCGCCGGCCCCCAGATCTGCCCAGTCCACACCCCCATACTGGAGCTACTGGATCCTGGCCATGTGCCGGGCTCTTGGGCATCTGTGTGTCTGGGCTGTGGGGGAGGGGGTGGGGGAGGGAGGACAAACTTGGACTTCATCTGTTTCTGGAGAAGAACAAGACAGCCATGCTAGGTCTGAGGCCCAGCGAGGCACTGGCATGGCCCAGCTGGAGTGTAGATTCTGCCCCAGCAAACCATATAGCTGAACTGGGCACAGGGGCAGGGAGATTGACCCCGTCTGCAGACGTGAGAGACCACCAAGCCAGAGGGCAGGTTGGTGTGGGCTGTTGGACCTTTGATGCATTTTGTTCAGGAGCGAATCCTTCTCTACGCTTCTTTGTGTCTGGTGCTGCTGGGACACACCTGGGTCATCTCACCAGGCATCATGTGGGGCTCTAAGATTGGAACCACCCCATGAGACTGGGCAGCATGACTTAGCTGTTCCAGGGACAATGGCCTTGTGTGCCTCGTGTTTCCTGTGCCTCTTTACAGCATCATTTTCTGGGCCCACGTGCTTGACCATGGCTCATACTCTGTTGTAGCCATTCTATGCATATAACCTCCTACGCATGTTGCAGTTCCCATAAGAATGAAATTGCCTCAAGGATGCCTTTGTCAGGCCGGGCCACTTCCATCTGTCCGTGAATCACTTTCCCGGTGCCCCTGGTCACAGGCTTGAAACATCAGCCAATGTGATTCTTGGTTACCGGCCAGGCTGGAAATGGAGATGGCTCACCTCTGCCCTCTGTGATATTAGCCCAGCTTGCTCACGTGGCTGCTGGGAACAGAAGGCTTGAGAACCTGCAGGATGTGTCTCGTTGCTGCTTTTCCAAGAGGGCACCTGACCTCTTCCAGCCATGGTTGACTCAGGGGGTAAAATCAGGAGATGGAGACTCCAGACACAGAGAACAGCTTCGACCTCCTGACAGGGGCAGGCCAGGTGACACAAAGGATTCTGCCTTCTTAGCTCAGGAAATACTGGGAATGAGCATGAAAACAGAAGGGAGAGGCAGAAGCAGGGCCAGCTGTGAAGAAGACACAGAATGATTCAGTTACAGACTAGAGGCCCAAGTATGGCCGTCTGAGCACTAAGATGGGAGCAACCCCGGAGCACCAGGTGTGGCCCAAGACCCCAAACCCAAACCAAAACAAAAACCCCGAAAAACAACCACCTCTCTCCTTTTCAGTTGTCTTCATATCTGCCTGATAAAACCCAGGACGAGAAATTTCCCATCATCCGTTGGCATCAAACAGCTGATGTTGGCTCTGTCCCCAATAAAAGGATGCCCAATACTTTCATGGCAGTAGCCATGGACCTCGGGGACAGTGACTCGCCGTATGGCAGGTATGGCTCATGCTTGGTCTTGGCTGGAAGAAGTGCTCTCCATGGCCTTCATCCTGATGTGCTCAGAAGGGAACAGAGAAGGTGGATTCAGGCTTGAGCCTGTGAAGTGCTGTTGGCATATCTGGGTAAGCCCTGGCACTGCAGGGCATAAAGTCTCACATCCTTGGGCTCCTGAACCACCTGAGTTAACTCTCCGTGTTAATTCAGTGATCTCCTGGCTTCCTTTGTTTCTTGCTTTCCTCCAAGTGATCTGTTACTTCAAAGGTAAAGGTAAAGGTAAAGGCCCTCCCGTTGATCGTCGATTTGCTCGAGCGGGCCCAGTAACGTCTCCATTGGAGACTTTGTTGTTACTGTGTCTGGCATATCGAATACTCTCGGTACTTCAAAGCTTCCAGTAAAGGCCTGGGGTCCCCTCTGGGATTATGTTACCATTTACCTTTAAAAAAATTTTTTTATGCGTTTGTTGGTGGTGAGGGGCACACATCTAGCCGTGCTCAGGACTTACTCCTGGCTCCTTGCTCAGGGATCATTCCTGTTGGTGCTCAGGAGGAATAGATGTGGTGCCAGGGATCAAACTGGGATTGACTGCAAGAAGGGCAAGTGCTGGGCAAGTGCCTTAACCCTTGTACTATCTCACTGGTCTCTCACATTTTGGTGCGGGACAGGGGGTGGTGTCTTTGGTTTGAGACACATCTGCCTCTGCTGGGGGCTTACTCCTCCTAACTCTTTGCTGAGAGAAGTGGACCTTCTATTGATCACTGACTCTCCCTCCCCCCCCCCCTTTTTTTTTTTTTTTGCTTTATGGATCACACCTGGCCATGCACTTAGGAATTACTCCTGGCAGTGCTTGGGGGATCATATGGGATGCTGGAAATCGAACCTGGGTTGGCTGCGGGCAAGACAGATGCCCTACCCGCTGTGCTATCTCTCCCGCTCCTGATCACTGACACTTAAGGTGGTTTATATAATTCCTTTTTTGAATTCTTTTCGTCCCCTAGAGCCGGGATACTGGGCAGGTCATAAATAACCCCCCGTTCCCCAGGTGAGGCTGGCCACAGGACATGCTCTGCCCAATGCCACGGGAGCAGAAGGAACGTGTGTGGTCTCTATTTGAAAGCACATGATGCCACGCACAGTCTCCGAAGGTGACTGAAAGCAAAGGTCACATGGAGCATCTTTGTGACTCTGGTACAAAAAAGTGACTCTTATTGAGATCAACCCCAGAATTTTGTGTTTTTCATCCTGTAGCATTCACCCCCGGGATAAACAGACCGTGGCTCACAGGCTGCACTTGGGGGCTCGTGCCGTGGCTTACGGGGAGAACGTGACCTTCCAGGGACCCATGCCAGAGAAGATTGAGGTCTTGACTGAGGAGCGACAGCTCAACCTCACATATTCCCAGCAGATCCAGGTGATGGCACGGAGCAACACGATATTTACGGTGAGAAATGCAAAAAGAAAGGGGGAGCACGTTGTGGGCCCGCATCCCTCATCCCCTGACTGCTGCTGTCTCTGTTCTTGGACCAGGTGTCTTGCTGCAATGACAGTCAGTGCCGGTGGCTTCCAGTTCCCGTGGACGCTTTCTCCACCCAGTCTCTGACCCTGAATATCAGTTCGTGTCATGGCGTTCTGGTTGCTGTGCGCTATGCCTGGGCCTCGTGGCCCTGTGATTATAAACGGTGTCTGCTGTACCACCCCACCAGTGCCCTGCCAGCGCCCCCCTTCTCCGCCTGCATTGCTCCCACTCCGCGGACAGCTCAGCTGTGTGGTTGGAGCCAGGGCTGTGGTATGTGCTGTCCTCTGTCCCACCTGTTGTAGACCCCCTGTTGTATGGGGGTCCTTCCTGTCAGAGCTTGCTAACCTTTGTCCTTCATGGTCCTCCTCAGAACCTTGTTTGCTTCCTGTGCCCCATCTCCACTGGTTGGTCGGTGCCCGCATTTTGTGCCATGCCTACCCCCTCTCCCCCCATTTATGTGAATTTTCACCTGTGGCCCCTGGTTGAGAAATGCAGCTATCAGTGTGGGCATTTATTTTTATAATAATTTTTATCTTTGCTGTGTGGGCGAGATACTCTCGGTAGCTAGCCAGGCTTTCCGAGAGGGGTGGAGGAATAGAACCCTGATTGGCCAGGCTAGCCGCGTGCAAGGCAGACACCCTACTGCTGTGCTATCGCTCTGCCCTCTTTCCCAGAATTCTGGAAATAAGGGGTCGGAAGACAGTTCAAGTCGTTCTAGGCTAACTCATGGCAATGTGTTCTTCATGAAGCACTTAGCTGGTGGGTGTGTTCGCCAGCGAGTTTCTACTTGAATTTCCCTGGATCTGTTCCTTAGTGGGATTAAAAACTCCAGGTCCAGGTCCCTGAGTTTTTTTGTAAGCAAAGTTGGCCCTGTTGGTGTTCTAAGCCCAGACCAGTCTTGGTAATGCTAATGTGAATGTTTGCAACTAGCCACTGGAGGCTTTTGGGGAGGGGCTGGGGGATGTGCAGTGAATGGAAAGACCAGGTGGTCATAGACCAGAGGAGGGTAGAGGAGCCCTGGGCTGAGGAAACCCCGACAGACAGCAGCAATCACTGGCGTCCAGTTCCAGCCTCTTCCTCAGAGGTCTAACAGGAGGAACGACCTGAGACCAAAGTGACTTGTTACTGTGTTTGGCAGATCGAATACGTCGCAGGTAGCTTGCCAGGCTTTGCTGTGCGGGCGAGATACTCTCGGTAGATTGCCGGGCTCTCTGAGAGGGGTGGAGGATTCGAACTCGGGTCAGCCATGTTGGCTGCATGCAAGGCAAACGCCCTACCCTCTGTGCAATCGTTCCAGCCCTTACATATTACATGGTGTGTAAATTGTTTTGTTTTTGGGCCACACCAGGGGTTACTCCTGGCTCAGCACTTAAGGATCACTCCCGGCAGACTCAGGGGATCATAGTGGATGCTGGGATTCAAATCTGGGTTGACTGAGTGCCAGGCAAGCATCCTGCCCACTGTGCTGTCACTCAGACCCTACTCGTGGTATATGATTTCATAATGTTTTTGAAAGGTTTTAGCAAAATAATTTTCCTGAATAAGTTGGATAGAAAGTTTTGTATTTGTGGGAGTCCTGTGTCCATTATACATAGTGATTTTTCTTGTTTTGTTTTCTGCTATTAAGTAGTAACTCTGAGAACTCTTAAAACATGTGGACACAGATCCTATCTGGGGTGCTCCTGGGCTTCCAGGCAATGCTGATGTGTGTCTTGACTGTTCGTTCCCCACCCAGGGCTCCCCTAGCGGTGCTCACGACCCCTGTTGTACTGGGGATGGAGCTCAGCCCCTGGCCCTGAGAAGCAGGTCTGCAGAGAAGTTTTTTTGTTGTTGTTGTTACACCCAGCGGTACTCAGGGGTTACTCCTGGCTCTGCACTCAGAAATTACTCATGGTGGTGCTTGGAGGACCCTATGGGATACCAGGGGTTGAATTCAGGTTGGCCACATGCAAGGCAAACACCCTACCTTCTGTACTATTGCTCTGGCTCCCTGCAGAGAAGTGTTTGAATCCCATAGCTTAACCTTCTGAAAGGAGCCAACAGTTTCTGTTCCCAACACGGTATCGTCCTATTTTTGTCTCTTATTTTCACTGCTGTGGGATGTTGTCAAATTAAAAATATTAACAAGCCAAAAGACTAAAAGATATATTTTTTTAAGTTTTTATTAGTGAACACCATGAGGTACAGTTGTAGACGTACAAATTTTTGTGCTTAGGTTTCAGTTATACAATGATTGAGTACCCATCCCTCCACCAGTGCCCATTCTCCACCTCCAATGCTCCCAATATCCCTCCTACCCCCCCCCCCACCCCATCTTCCCCTAAAAGATATTTTAAGCATACTAGAACAGTGTTTTTCAAAATGATGATCCAATCCGTAAGGGCCAGGGGCTGAGTCAGTCCTGCATTGTGCAAGGCCCCAAGTCAGTCCCAGGTGTTACACTGCCGGGAGCCAAAAGGTAGTACAGCCTGACATACAATTTAGGAACTGACTTCTTCTTGAAAAAGTGTTAACTTGAAGTTTCTGAGCTACGCCCAAGAAAACTGCCATGAGCCTGCTGTTAGGGCTCACACTCTGATTCACTGAAAATCTGCATGCTTTGTTAATTCCTCATTTTGCCCACTTCCTAATGTAATCAATTATAAAAAGCTAGCTTGGGAGAAATAAATTTGGAGCTTGATCAGTCTTGTCTTGCTCCCCTTCTTCTGTCTCTCTCTTTTTTTCCCACTCGCGCACCCTCTCCCGGTTATCCACGTTGACTAGTTCTGCGGGTTGGGGCAGGTGGGTGTGGCCCCCACGGCAGATAAACTCCAAATCCAAATGATGATCTCCACTGAGAGTATGTTCCTTCCTCCATGTGTGTCAGCATACGTAGCCCTTAACGTGCACATGCCTTGGCCCTAAGCACGCTAGTGTTCACTTGCACTTGTTCTTAGAGGACGTGGGGCTTTGGCTCGCTCACGTCTAACCACTAACGGGTGGAGGGTCTGTGGTCTGAAAAAGTGTCCTCGGAGAGCTCAGAGTGGGGCCTCACACTCAACACGACCCCTGTGTATTCAGAAACTGTTCTTAGATGTCGTTCCTCAAATGAAGCCTGGGCCGGGGAAAAGGTTCCCAGGGCTAAAGTGCATGATTTGTATATGGGGCCCCCAGGTTTGATCTTGCGTACCACATGATCCTCCCCCCCCCCCCCCCCCAAGCTGGTAGTAAGGGCCTACATGGCTTTGTGTGTCCTCAAAAGCAGAAACTAACCAAAAAATGAGGTCCTCTTATTTTTTATTTTTTTGCTTTTTGGGTCACACCCAGAAATGCTCAGGGGTTATTCCTGGCTCTGCACTCAGGAATTACTCCTGGCAGTGCTCGGGGGACCATATGGGATACCAGGGATTGAACCCAGGTCAGCCGCATGCAAGGCAAACACCCTACCCCAAGGTCCTCTTAAGGGTTTTACTCAGGTATTTGCTTTATGATAAAGCAGCATATACTGTTTATCTGTGTAAATAAATTCAGGTAACTTCCGCAGAGGAAACAAAACCAAAACCCATTAAACATTATCAGCTTTGAGTAATCCCCTTCTCAACCTTGGTATGCCAGATTTTATTTTTAAAATTTTTTAGCTTGGCTCTGTATTTTTAAAAATATGCATTTTTTTTTTTCTTTTTGGGCATTGTAATGTCAGATAACTTAGGTAAAAGGCTGTGGCAAAGAGTTCTAGAATCAGGCTGCTTCGGTTTCTGGTTCTTCACAGCCCGGGGAGCTGAGTGCTGCCCCCGGCTCAGCCCTCACCACCACTTCCCTCTCACTTCCCTCTCCTACCCCCTTGCCCTTCTTGTCCAGCCTGCCCGCACCTGGTGGGGCAGGCCCAGGGACCCCAGCAGGCGCTGGAGATGTCTGGGTCAGGTGAGACGAACCATCAGAACTGCAGCTGCATAGAAGGTGGACTCAGTTTCCTAACAGGGGGTCGAAGAGACAACGGAGCGTGTCTGTGGAGGCCTGGAACCAACGCTCCAGTGTTCCCTCCACAGCTGCTCTGTGTCTTCTGCGCTTCGTGCGGGGCCTTTTTTGGTGAGGAAAGACAAAGGGGATGGAGAGAGGGACAAGGAGGACTTGGATGTCCTCGCGGGGTGTGTGAGATGTGTGGGGCGCCGGATGTGAAAAATGAAGTGGAGCAGCCTGGTGGCAAGCCTTGGCCTGAGCCTCAAGTCCGGGCAGGCTGCCAGAATTTTCCCCACACTTCCCCTGGAAGGAGACCTAAGTTGATGCTACCAAGCGGAACAGTCAAGGCTGACTGGGATGGAGATACAGTACAGCAGGGAGGGTGCTGGCATGCACTGACCCAGGTTCGACTCCCAGCGTCCCATATTGTCCCGAGCCCTGTTAGGAGTGAGTCCTGAGCACACGCCAGGAGTGAGTCTTGAGCACAGTGCTGGGACTGAGCCCCGAGCACAGAGCTGGAAGTGAGCCCTGAGCACAGCGCTGGGAGTGAGCCCTGAGCACTGTTGGATGTGGCCCCAAACCCAAAAACTAATGACAAAATATGTTCTGATTACAAGAAGAGAACAATAAGCACAAGCGTCAAAGAAATTTATTCCTAAAAATAAATCGGCTGAAGTTTCTCCCCAGGACAGTCCCCCCAGGAAGCTGCAGACACAGTGTGTCCACATTGTCACTCCACAACGGCTGTCAGAGTGAGAAGGCTGGGGTCGGGGATCCCTTCCCTTCAGTTGGAGGACTGAGAGGGCCACAGTGCGAGGGAGACTTCAGGTGCTCGAGCAGAGCAGGCGCCCCCAGGGCCTCAGGCGTCAGGAACTGGTAGGACTCAAAGGCCGCAGGCTGCAGTTCCGGGAGGTCCAGGGGCCCTGGAGGGGAATACGTTGCCAATGCCCCTGCTGCCCACGGGTCAGCCCCAGCCAGTCCCTGCTGTGGCCTTTCTCTTCTTCAAGGCCCTCACCTGCAAGCCCACTAATGGCCCTTTTGGTCAGATAAGGCAGATATTTGCTCTTAAAACAAAGAAAACTGGGGCCTAAATAGAATGACCTGCCTAGGGCGACAATGTGTTGGCCAGAAGTGAGTTTTGTTTTCTTAAGTATAGCCCAGGGCCCTCCCTCTGACCTCAGACTCAGTCCCTGACTATTGGCATGTGCAAAGGGGCTCCCTGGATATAGGGGGGTCCCTGGCTGGAACTCCATCCCGATTCCGTCTCTGGGAATGCGCATCCTGACAATACAATTGTTCTGGAGCTGACAAAGGTCTAATTCAGGTTCGGAAGGGACTGCCTGTTTCTCAGCAGGCGCGTTTGTCTGGATGCTGGCGGACACGCAGCTAAAGGAGCCTGTTTCTAGAACTCTTGGGCATAGCCTTTTATCTGAGGGGAAGGGAGAGAGGTATTAGCAATGGTACCTTGTAGAATTGGGTCGTCAGGATCCTCCTCATAAGTCTGTCTCGGAAAGGCTTCAAAGCTTACAGTCACGTCATTCTCCGGGACCCCCTGGGGCAGTTGCTCTTCTCCAGGCTTGCACACATCATATTTCACCCACTGGTAACTGGAGGGTTAAAGGGGACGCCACTGAACCCCCCCACCTCCATCCCCTATGGCTGGAATACCCAGGTGTGTCTGTACATGTGTCCCATATAAGATTAGCTTCTCTGGTGGCACTTGTGAGAACTTGCCAGCCCTTTTGCTGTCTCTCTCTCGCTCTCTCTCTCACACACACACACATGGTGGAAGTGACCACTATGCTGGGGGCAAGAGCAACAAGACAAGGGGCATTGTAGTCAGGCCCTGGACCCCTGGTCAGGGAGCGTCTCTGAAGGAAACTTACTTGATGCACTTCTGAGCTCCTGGACAGCTCTGGATCAGGCTGTGAATAGCGGGATGAGAAAGCCCAAAAAAGTCAGCTCCAGACGGAAGCAGGTTGGGCGTGAGTTTCCCCCTAAATAGGAGAGGGAGCATTTTATTTTGAGCAGAGAGAAGGGATCTGGGAATGGCGTGTGGGTGAGAACACAGCAGCGTTCTTGGAGACTCAGAGGCACCCTGTCCAGGAGGGGTGGCACCCGTCTCCCTGTGACTCAAGGCAGCGTTCAGGCCGCTGCTCCCCCTCGGCATCAACTCACATGGCTGCATTGATGGTCTTGAGCAGTTCTGCGTGACAGACATCCGCAGAAGAGCTGACAATGGCATTCTGGGGGTCATCTTCTGGGACAATTTCAAACTGAGAAAGAGGAAGGAGCAGTTAAGTGATCAGCCTTCCAGGAGGAAGAAAGAACGGAACATCCCTATAGACATTTCTTCTCTTGGAACTATTAGAACTTGCCGTCTATGTTCTTCTTCCCCCTGGCTTTTGGGCGATGGTGCTCAGGGCCCGCTTGTGGTTCAGTGTCTGGGGCCTGTGCAGTGCCAGCGATGGAGCCTGCTCCTGCACACACCGCAGGGCCTTTCACTCTTCAAGCCACCCCCTGCCCTGCTGGGAGGGTACAACCTCCTAGAGTGTTACTAAAACTCGTTCAATCCAAGAATGCAGAGAAAGTTCTGTAATTCCATCCTCCTTGCTCTAGGCCATTCCCTGTAACCCGCACCTACCCTTCCAGACCATTTCCTGTCCACCTGGACTGTCACTGAGGAACACTGCAGGCCATTTTGACACCAGCCTCCTTTCATTTTCTTATTTATCTTCTGAACTGCAAAGTGTCTTACGTTAAAGAAACTATTGAAATCATACTGACACCAAGCAAGTTTTGCCAAGAGTACTTTATTATTGGAGGCCAAGAGCAATAGTCCAGTGGGTCAGGCACTTTCCTTGTACACGGCCAACCCGATTTGAATCCTCAGCATCACATAATGGTCCTCCGAGCCCTGACAGAATAATCCCTGAGCATAGGGCCAGGAATAAGCTCTGAGTATCACTGGATGTGGCGCCCCCCCCAACCTCATGGAGTACTTTATTACTAATGCTGTCTTGTCAACCTAATTCTTTGACTAGGTCCATGTAAAGTTCAAGTAATTTCCAGGTTTTTGGTGCGTATTCATATCACCTCAAACTGAATTAGTTTATTCTGTGTATATACATATTTTAAATATAAAAATACATTTTAAAAACAACATTACATGTCAGTTTTTTTCTGGAATTCCAAACTTTTCAGAGGGCATTTTACTACTGTCCGTTTTCCTCTGTGGCTGTGACTTCACTGGAGTTCTACGAGTCAAGCTTTAGAGCAGTCTTGCAAGCCCATCGCTGAGTGGGGAGTAGCAAACAGGGAACATGTTAAGGTGCTCACAAGGAAGACAGTTACCTGAGGCTGCACACCCCCATCCTTGATCTGGCAGGTGTAGAGACACTTCCGGTCAGGGTACTTGCTGCTGGCATAGACCCTCGTGCTGCAGTAGCCCACCGGGTAGATGGCATTCTCATCATGGAAGCCAGGCCGGTCGGTGACGATCTGGAAATGATTCCCCCGGCCCGCGATGAGCTCCCGGGAGCACCGGGGAGTCCAGTGTCCTGAGACCACTTTAAGGCCCCTGAGGGTGGTGGACCCCACATGGAGAAAGCAGAGACTGTGGTGCAGACAGAACTGACCTGCTTGTCAAGGGCTGGTCTGGCTCAGCCCAGGGCTGCTGCTGGGCGGGAGGGAAGCCTGAGCCCCTCCCGTGCCTGGTTCTCCTGGTCTCACTCACCTCCCCCAGGCTATATACTGTTAGACCCCCCAGTCCGATGGGGAGCACAGGCCGTCCTGAGGGATCCAGGGCAATGGGCTGGACCAGCTTGCGAGCACCTGCCTCCATTTTCTTTTTCTTGGATGTTTTCTTCAGAACTGAAACGCAAATCTGGGGTCACCCACTTTGAGCCCCCTCCCCCCCAGTGCTGAGGGGAAGGGAAAAATTTACAGTGAACACTAGAAGCCAATCCTGGATCTCTCCACTCACGCTCCCGACTTCCCAGGATGGTTCTCTGCCGCCCACCAAGCAGGAAGCAGTTCCTGTTAGTGCTCAGGGCTTAAGAGCCTTCCCCTTTGCAAGGCCTGATTTTGTCGTTACGATCAGGAACGTCCCGTGCCAACAATGTGCTCGAAAGACCACCGAGCCCATTTCCCTGCCCTAGGAAGGACTGCGTGAAGGTCCCTGAGGTGGACATTGGAAGGAGCGGGAGGCCTTGACCTGGCTGCCTCCAGCCTGTGTGGGATTCCTCCACACACTTGCATCTCAGGCGGGCGGGGCTGCTTAGGGACAGGTGAGAGCTGCAGTTCATCAGTGGCCACGTGTGGCCACCAGGGAGGACCAGGTGCTTGGCATTAGTCCTCGAACCACCAGGACAACTGACATCCTCTCCCCAGGGTACCTTCCAGTTTGTTGTTTTCTTTGCCTTTTTCTTTTTTCTCCTTTCTGGATTTCTTCCCAAATGGTTCCTCAGCCCCAGAGCTGGGCCCTGCAATGGGCCCAGCTCCCTGTAGAGTTCCTACTGTGCTGGCCACACCGTAAGCCAGGGGCAGACTGGAGCCGTGGGGCAGAGCTGCGGCCTGAACGTCCCCTTCAGTGAGAGCCTGAAGCTGCAGCAGCTTCTTCAGCAGGTACCTGAGGGAGAGAAGGCAGCGAGTGGAGGCATGAGCTTCCAGTGGCTCTCAGCCCAGTACTTTACTCAGAAAACAACAAAACCCAGAACTATGTGCTGAGATTGTCACATGTGTGAAAGCATCTTCTTAAATGGGCTCAGGAGATGCTCAAGAGGTCAAGGACAGGGAGTGTCTCTGGGTGTGTACAGACACTGGGCTTGCACAGAGCAGTACTGAATGTGGATCTGTGACATGAAGGAAGAAAGATTCTTTCCTTCCTTGGCTCTCTATGTGTGTGCGGGGGTGGGGGGGATTTAAGGATCAGATAACTCTGAGTTGTGGCTAGACAGACAGCCTTGTCAGAACAGAGGCGCTATCTATCACGAGGGTCCCACATGAAGGGAAATACAAGCGCCAGAGCGTGTGAATGGCTCAGGACTAGACTGGAAGTACTGTCCAGGCAGCTAGACTGACTAGGCATCCTGCTGGAGAATCCTGGGGCAGTAACACCCAGTCACCAACCATGTTATTTGGAGCACACAGAAAAGGCCAGCTCACCTCCTTTCTTCCTTTGCTTTAAGAAATTTTTCCTCAAGACGAGCAATTTCATCACAGATAGCAGCATTTTCCTTTTAAAAAAAATGAGAAAAACGGTCACATGAAATGAATGATTAGAATATTGTTCTGGGAAGTAGGCGCTCTATTTCAAAACAAGCGTGAGATGATCTAGCCTCCCATGTAGACAGATCCGAGGAGAGTCTACAGGAAGAAGGAGAGAGAAGGTCTACTGCAGGGAACGGACCGGGACCCTTGGAATGAAAGGCACACCTGTGAGTGACTGTGTCAGGATATGGTGGTAAATGAGGGCCCCGTGGGCAAATCATCTTGTACCATCGGCCTGGTCACGGAGCATCTGGACAGAGAAGTGCAGACTGAGATGGTGGCTAAACCCAGAGACGAGGCATCTCATCATGAGCAGCCCAGGCACGCCCATTCCCAAGGACCTCACCTCCTGGACTGCTTACCGAACCAACCCAATTGGAACCATCCCGCATGTTATGAACCTTGAAGAGAAGAATGGGATGGAACCAATCAAAATCTCAGGTGTAATATTCAGAAATCTTAGAATCTGCTCGCGTGCACTCAAGCGTCTCTTCTGCCCAGCTGAAGAGAACACTGGGGTCTGGGGGCCTGGGAGGTGTGGGCTCAGACTCTCCCAGTCCAGCCTAGCCCTTGGCCTCATAGGACCTTTCTGTTCCCCTGGAACCCAACCCCACTTATAAGACTCTTAAGTATCAGGCACCTTTGCCAGGACAGTAAATTCTCAATTTCAGATTCTCTTCTTCCCTATGCCTATCATACTAAGGAAGTATTTTTGAAAGGAAGGTTCTCATTCCCACGCTATTCCTTATGCTTCCGAAGAAGCTGGGGGAACGCCCAGCTTTGGCAGGAAGGTCGGTGTGGACCCGGGCGTGGACAACGCTTGCGGACCCCACCGTTTCCAGCTGTTAGCAAGCCATGCTGCTGTCACCACGCTGTGGATACCACTCCGGGGGACAACAGGAGGGGACAAACACTGGGGCGACTCAGAGATGCCAGGTGTGTGTGTGCGTGTGTGTGTGCGCGCGCGTGCTGGGCGGGGTGGGTGGTGGCAGCAGGTGTGTCGTGGGCTGAACTAGCACCAGGCGGTCCCGCTGGGCCAGGGACTCTGCCATCTCTCGGCCCTCGCTCCGCTTTCACCAAACGGGGCCCAGGCGCACGGTGCCCAGCTGCGGCCCGTCGTCCCCCCCACCCCCCCGTGGCTCGCGTTCACAGGTGCGGGTCCGGGGTGCGTGGGGGGGGGGGAGGGGGCGCCGGGCGGACTCACAAACACCGTGGCCTTGGCCGCCTTGCGCAGCCGCAGGTACTTGAGCCGGTACTTCTCGTTCTGGCTCTTCTTCGGGGGCTTCTTCATTCTGGCCCTGCCGGCCTGCAGCGGCTCCGAAGCCGGGCCGCCCAGCAGGCTCATGGCGCGGCCCCGCGGCGGGGGCTCCGGGGCGCGGCCGGCATCGGCTCCGAGGCCCAGCGGCGGACGGCCCCGGGCCTCCAGGTGCGACCCCTCGAGAACGTGCCCCGCCGCCCGAGCCGGCAACCGGCGCCCGCCAGCACTTCCGCGTCGGGCTCCGCGGAAGCTTTTCCCGGAAGTGACGCCACGGAGCGCGACGTCACTTCCGGGCCGCGCGGGGCCCGCCGCCGGGTTGGGAACTCGGCGGGCGAGAGGGGGAGCGAGATGTTCTGTGCTGGCTGGGCCGGCCTCAACCTCCCCATCCGACTCCCGGGCACGGCCCTGCAGGGCCAGCCTGGCACAGGTGTGGCCGGGAGAGACACACGCCCCCGCGACCCGCGCTTAGCAGAAAAGTTTACCCGGTGAAACCCAGAGTCCGTTTCTGCTGCGCGAGCTCCAGCCTGCAGCCGAGGCTCCTCGGAAAGCAAAGCGGGAGCCGAGGTCGCGCCTTAGGGTGCAGGGGAGCCGGGCAGGGCACTGTAGTTCTAGCTGTAACTTCACCTAGCTGAGCCCTAGCCCAGGGCCACAGTACCCTCCACCCCCCTGAAAGTACTCTAGAATAAATATGATACAAAGACCCAGGTACTCTTCCTGAGGTAAAGTACAATTTCATAGGTTCAAAATTTAGACGAGGGTGTAAATGGAAATCAAGAAAGCTATGTACATACTTAAAAGAGTAAGTTTAGTGAATTGCAGAGGTGAATTACTTACTCGTATAAGTAACTTAGAAACAAAGTGCAGAATAAGGTTTGGAATTGATGACTCAGGTATTAACATTTGTGGGACTGGTGAAAATTGCCGCAGAGTCTGAGAAGTTGATTCGGCAGAGAAGATTTAGGACAGGCTTTTCGTGTCCCCCACGTGTGCTGGTTGGATCTGGACATTTAATGCACGATCCACCTGTGTGCTTGGGTGAACATTTCTCAAGTATCCATATAACTTCATTTTTGAAAAGTGCCAGGAATGTTTACAGCTACATTTCCCCAACTCGTATGCCTTTCTTTGATAATACACATTGATATTTTTCATTGGAACCTGGAAATAGTTCTGAGCGAACACAAGAGATTTCCTTTTAAAAAACAAACAAACAAACAAACAAACAAAAACCGGAAGCACCCGATTTGCTAACTGTCTAACTTCCTTGTTTTTTAACCTTATTTTGTCCTGGTAGGCTTTGTGATCTGACCTTATTTTCATATGTGTTATACAGTGGGAGGGAAAGTGCTATTATTTCCCTTTGCTTTTAAGTTGCTTTGGCCAATGGAATTTAGTGCAATTTGTTTTAAAATGTTTCTGGTGTTAAATAAAGGGTGTTGGAAGGAACCTCCCAGGATGGGAGATGCATGCTGAAAGTAGAATATAGACCGAACATGATTGCCACTCAATGCCTCTTTTGCAAACCACGACACCTAATAGGAGAGAGAGAACAAAAGGGAATGCCCTGCCACAGAGGCAGAGTGGGATGGGGGGATGGGGGGGATACTGGGATCATTGGTGGTGGAGAATAGGCACTGGTGGAGGGTTGGGTACTCCATCATTGTAAAACTGAAACTCAAGCACAAAAATTTGTAAGTCTACAACTGTACCTCATGGTGTTTCACTAATAAAAAAAATATTTCTGGTGTTGGGGAGATGATGCAAAGGGCTAAAGTGCATCCTTTGCATGCAGGAGCCTGAGCATGGAGCTGTAGTAGCCCCTGAGCTCAGCTCAGCATTGCCCCAATCCCCACAAAAATAATCTGCTTGCTTCGCAATTTAGAAAATAGTTCACGTAAATTTTAGAAACCTTGAATATAGTACAAAGAGAAAAAAAATTCCTAGTGCTGCCGCATGTAGCAGGCCACTTTTTAATATCCTCGGAGAGCCCGGCAAGCTACCGAGAGTATCTCACCCTCACGGCAGAGCCTGGCAAGCTACCCGTGATGTATTCGATATGCCAAATACAATAACAACCAAGTCTCCAATGGAGATGTTACTGGGCCCGCTCGAGCAAATCGATGAACAACGGGAGTCCAGTGGTCAGTGATCAGTGATGTTGTATGTATACTTAATAGTTTCATCTAGTGTGTATCAGTGATTCCTGCATTTCTTTGGCCCACTGCCTCCTTTTCAGAAAAAAGTTCAGTGCCTGCCCCCTGACACAACTTCTGCCCCCTTCCCCATGGGTCTGGTTGCCCTTAGGGGGGATATCGCCCACTTTGGCAAACACATGACTTAGGTCCATGGTCTTTAATCTCCAGTCCAGGGATGGCTGGTGGGTGGCCTGCAGGTATAGAAAGGCTGGCTCAGATCATGCTGGACATGTTTCTTGTTCACCACAGGGTGATGTTGGCATCTTTACAAGCATAATCTTACGTGACTGCTTATTCTTCCAGTTAAGGTATAATCATTTAATATCACTTATTTCCAGGTGCTTTAACTTCTTGATCATCAGTTGTGCAAAGTTCACTGTTTTCCCCCCATTCAGGTTTATTTAGAAGCCGACTTGGTGTGTCCTAATCAATGTAATGATACTGGGCATTTCGGTCACTTATGTATTCAGCAGAATATTTAGTGCCTACTATGAACCAACCTTTGGGAGTCTATTTAAGAAGGAAAGATGCCAAGGAGGCAATATTAATATGATATAATAGTGTTATGGCTGCACCCATAGGAAAGGTTTGGGAGAGATAGGAAAAGTTAGGAAAATTGAAGAAGCAGATGTGGAAAGACTGAAGGAGAGTCAGTGATCAGCTCAGAAGAAGCCAGACAGTGGGCAGTGGGGCAGCGCGTTCAGCCTGGCGTCGGGAAAAGTACAGGCTCTGTGAGTAGCCTGTCAGCACATCTGGAGGTAGTCAAGAAGAGAGACTGAAGCCAAAGTTCTGTGTACCAATGAAAAACCTGGGCAGAAGATCTGGGATACAGCTTTTGCTAGTTTTAGGTAAACTTAACTGATTTCGTCAGGGATAACACTTTTCTACTCATCTATAAGAAGAAGGCTCTAACTGACTTATGCAAAAAGCTAAAGAAACACATACTGTGTAAGTCTATAAAGAAATACTGGGTGAGAAAGAAATCATGGTATTGTAGGCCAGACATGACCTTGAGAGTCAGGTTAAACCCAGGCCTGGAACAGGAGTTAGAAGCTCGGAATGTGATGAGTCAGGAGAAGAGAGAGAAGGGGTGGCTTATCCAATTTACTTCTAAGTGGTCACTTTTAGTGATGGACATAGTGGGCAGAAGTTGACTGCCCTCTGGGGAATTAAACACAAAATCAGCCCATTAAGAATTGTGAAGGAGTGATCAGGAGAGATACTAGTAAGGCACTTATGTGGGGCTATCCCAGGTTCAATCCCCAGCACACAACATATCATCTGAGCACCACCAGGAGGGATCCCTGAGCACTGCCAGATGTGGCCCCCAAACCAAAAAAACAAACAAGCAACCACAACCCCCCAAAAAAAAACAGACAAATTATGAAGGAGTGTGTGTGGCTTGTGATCCCAGCCCAGATTATGTGATGCTCTGCACAGCCTGGCCGTGTTCTCTGCTGTTCTCAGCCTTGAGAGTGGTTTATAAGTTTCTGCCATCATTCTCTCCTGACTGCTTAGTGGGTCACAGAATGCCAGGCAAGGCTGTGAGTGCCACAGAGCAAGCTGGGCACAATCCTAGAATTTTAAAACACACAAAAAGGTTTTCTGGGGTCCAGAGAGATGGTATAGTGGATCGGGCATTTGCCTTGTACACAGAGGACCTGGGTTTGATTCCCGGCATCCGATATGGTCCCCTGAGCACTACCAGGAGTAATTCCTGAGTGCAGAACCAGGAGTAGTTCCTGAGTATCACTGGGTGTGGCCCAAAAAGAAAAAAGAAAAAGAAAAAGAAAAGGTTTTCAGGAAGCTCACATCTTTATTCTCTTGCCCTTGCTCTTCAGGATGAGCTGTGACCTAGCAGGGCTTGTAGTAAATAGGAATCTGCCTCCACAACATCCTCGAGAGCTTCCTTTCCAGATGGAAGATTCCAGCATGTAAGGAGAGCATGAAAGGACTTTCACTCCAGTTTCTTTCCTCTTCCCACTTCATGCCCTGGGCATGATTTTTTTTTTAAGCTCTTGAAATCTTTAGCTCCAACTTTCAGACTCAGTTCCATATGTGGATGGTATCTTCTCACATTCTGGAAAAACGTGGTGACGATTGAATGGAACCTAAGCATGACAGTTCTGCAGTGGGTCATACTTTACAGGCCGGTCTCATTTTGTTGTGAGGAAGGAGAGTCTGACTCTCCAGGATGTTGTCTTGCCCCTTCCCTGGTTTCTTAACTAGGGATTTTCATCGCAGCGGCGGGAGGTGAGGTGTTTGGGTTTGGAGGGTTCCAGGCCTGCCAGCAGCGTCATGAAATCGACCACTGTGTCAATGTTGTGCTTCTCGGTGGTGGTGTCCTTCAGCACGCAGAGTGCACTCAGCCAGCTAAATGAGATGAGCTCGGAGACATTGGCGCGGAGGAAGAGGAGGATGACGTTGAGGTCATTGATGGGGCAGCCCAGCATCTTCCTGCTGAGGAGGTCAAAGGCTGGCAGCATCTCATAGACCGAGAGGAGCCTCTTGTCCCAGCGACAGAGTCGCGTTAGGTTGTAGAGGATGACCGGGACCAGGAGGGTGTAGACGGTGACACTGCAGAGGCTGACCGCCTGGAAGACACCCAGGGAAGTCAGCTTGCAGGTGACCAGCGGCGGCACCTGGGGCTCGGCACGGAGCAGCCCCGACTTGATGGAGCAGCTGAATTCCTCCTGGAAGAAGACGTCCAGGTGGAAGTGGCCCAGGTACAGGTAGGCGGCGGCTGTGAGTAGGAGCAGGAGTGAGTTCCTCAGGAGGTAGGTGGCCACGAGTGAGTGGGAACGCTGCTTACATGCCAGGTAGCGCTCAAGCAAGGGGAACTCGAAGTAGCGCTCCTTCCGGGCCCTGGGCACGGAGAGAGGGGCCGGGTCAGGAGGGGCCACAGGCAAGGGCAAGGCATGGGCTACGGGGCTCCCAGGACTGAGCACAGACACCTTCTCTTCAAAGGGAAGAGCATGAGGACAGGGTCACTGTCCCAGCTCTGAGTGCAGTGAGGTCCGCCCAGCTGTCGCTCAGAGAATGGTCAGCAGTCT